TTTTAATATACTATATTAAGCATTTAATTAAATATTATGTGGCTTGCTATAAAACAGGATCAAGTAACTGAAAACACAACAAAATGTTTTTAAAGTAACAAATCCAGCCCTGGCTGGTTTGGCTCAACGGTTAGAGTGTCAGCCCAAGGACCAGAGAGTCCTGGGTTCAGTTTCTGCTAGGGACTCGTGCCTCGGTTGCAGTTTGTCCCCGGCCCCGGTTGGGGTCGTGTGGGTGGCAACCACTAGATGTGTCTCTTTCATGTCGATGTTTCTCTCTCTCTCTTCCTCCCTCTCTCCCTCCCACTCTATCTGAAGATAAATGCAAAAATGTCCTTGGGTAAGGATAAAAAAAATAAAATAAAGTAACAAATCCATAGGTAGTTCAGATCTTTTTTTTGGATAGACTTAAAAAAATTACCATTATTAATATATTTAAGATAATATGGATTCAACATATAGAACAGAGAAAACATATCAGTAAAAAGTTTCCAGATTGAAGCATCAAAAGAAAAAAGGGAAAGAATAAGCATTATTTGTTAGACATTTCAATTACATCAAGTTCATTAATCACGTTGTTTATATCTTTACTGATTTTTTTCTACTCGGATTATCAGTTGTTGAAACAGTTATGTTAAAATCTCCCAGTATGAGTATATATTTTTAAAATTTCCCCCTCATTTGTCACTTGTTACTTTACATGTCTTAAAAATGTTATTTAGCCCTGGCCGGTTTGGCTCAGCGGTTAGAGCACTGGCCTGCATTCCAGAGAGACAGGGTTCGGTTCCCACTAAGGGCACGTATCTCAGTTGCAGTTTGTCCCCAGCCCTGGTTGGGTTGTGCGGGTGGCAACCACTCAATGTGTCCCTTTCACATCAATGTCTCTCTCCCTCCCTCCCTCCCTCCCTCCCTCCCTCCCTCCCTCCCTCCCACTCTATCTGAACAAAAAAAAAAAGGAAAAATGTCCTCGGGTGAGGATAAAAAATTTTTTTAAATGTTATTTATATGTATATATAAATTTAGATTTTCTACCTCTGTTGAAATGACCCTTTAACAATTAAAAAGTACCTCTCTTTCCCTGGCTGGATTTTCACAGTGGTTAGTGTTGGCCCACGGAACAAAGGGTCGTGGGTTCGATTCCTGGTCAAGGGCAAGTACCTTGGTTTCGGGTTTGATCCCCAGACCCGGTAGGGATCGTGTGGGATGCAGCCAATAGATGTGTCTCTCTCACATCAATGTTCTTCTCTCTTTAAAATGTGTCTTCTCTGCTTTGTCTATCTTATCTGGTATTAGAGCAACATGAGGGTAGATCTGAATACGATGTGCATAGAATATCTTCTCCTGTCTTTTTCTTTTAACTTTTTCCCATTAAAGGTATCTCTCTTATAAGCAAAATATAGTTGGGCTTTGTTTTTAAAGCAGTCCTATAATCTTTGTGGTTACAATTTAATACCTAGACCATTTATACATAATGTAGAGATCAATAAATTCGCATTTACTTCTACATTCTAATAATGTTTTGTCTCATTTGTTTTTTCTTTATTCTCATTTCTTGCCTCCCATTGGCTTAATCAGAAAGGTTATAATTTATTAACACTCTTCTACTCTTCCTTGTGGTTTACTTGATTTTATAACACACATTCCTGACTTACAACGTCTAATACATATTACTACTTTCGTAACATCAGGGACACTGCTATGACCCTAAAAAATATAAACTCCACCTATTCTTCTCATCTGTTGGATTAGTCATGATTTTCAGTCTGCACACATCTCCAGCTCCACATGATGTGGTCGCACACAGCGCATGCACGTTAACGCCACCCACACGTTTACTGTTGGTGCAGTTGGTTCCTGCTTGTTTCCAGGTTTCCATCAGGATCGTTTTCCTCCCGTCCCGAGAGTTCTCTGTAGCACTTATTTTAGTGCAGGTCTGCTGACTACAAATTGTCTTCATTTCTCTTTATTTCACCTTCACTTTGTTTGTTTGTTTGTTTTGTTAATCCTCAGCCGAGGGTATTTTTTCATTGAGTTTTACATGGAGTGGAAGGGTGAGAGAAAGAGACATCGATGTGAGAGAGACACATCGACTGGTGCCTCCTGCACAGCCCCAACCAGGGCTGAGGACTGAACCTGCAACCCATGTATGTGCCCTTGACTGGGAATCAAACCCAAGACCCTTGAGGCTGGGGGCCTCCATTCTGACCACTAAGCCAAACTGGCCAGGGCTACACCTTCCCTTTTAAGGGACATTTTTGCTGGATGCAGAAGTCTGTCTTGCCAGTTATCTTCTTCAGCATCTTAATGATGCTACTCCACTGTCAACCAGCTCCATCAGCTATCAGCTTTCTCTTGTTCCTTTAAGAACAGTCTTTTATTTTTATTAGCTCCAACTACTTGTAAGATTTTCCCCTTTCTTTTATTTTCAGTATTTTTATTATATTGTATATAAATGAGATTTGTTTCCTATTTTTCCTGCTTGGAGTTTATAGTGCTTCTTGAATAGGAGAGTGAATATCTTTCAACAGTTTGAGAACTTCTCAATGACTGTCGACAAGTGTTTCCGTTGCACCCCTCACTCCATCCCCGCACAGGCTTCTCTGCGGCCGAGCCTCTCAGGCTCTTCTCTGTGTCTCCTCACCCACTCCTTTCCCTGATTTAGCCTCCAGTTTCTACTGTACTAGAATGAACTCTACCCCAACTCTCCTAAATTTTAAATCTCTTCTTAATATATGCAAACACATCGTATGTTTTAAGAATTTCATTTATCTTTCTGGATTCCTCTCTTCCTGAGCACTGTGACCGTCAACACTCTGGGTGGCTGATCTCTAGACCTGGGACACAGCTTGACGCCATGGGACCCTCACCACAGAACTATCACTCTGCCTCTCTGTGCGAGTCCCGCCAGCAGTGCCTATGGAGGGGAAGACATTTCTGAGACCTAGCGTGTTTCAAAGTATCTTCCACCTACTCTCACAATTAATGAACAATTTGACTCGACATAGAATTTTAGATTGGAAATTTTTTTCTTCAGGATTTTGAAAACATTGTTCAATTTTCTTGTGGCTTTTGGTAATGGTCTAGCAAAAGCAGATGCCATTCTGATTCTTGGTCCTCTGAATACAAACTGATTATTTTCTCCAGTTTCTTAGAGCCTCTCATCACCTGTAGTCGTCATAAATGTCCCCATGTGTTCTGTGTCACTATTCTCATCCATCATAATGGACACTTACTGGGCAAAAATTCAAATCCTTCTGATAAAGAAAATTTCCTTTAATTCTCTCTTTAATGATTTCTCCTTTTCTTTTTGTCTCTTTCTATAATCCATGTTGTTCAAATATTGAATATTCCCATTATTTATTATTGTTATGTGACAAACCCAAAATTTAGCATCTTAAAACACTAACCACATTACTTCAATGCAATTCTTTCCGTCAGGAATCTGAGGAGTGCCCAGTAGTCACGACCATCTCATCTCAACGTGATGTCAGCCTGGATGGCTCGGCGGAGGCTGAGTGTCCAGGGCAGCTCCGGCGAATGCCTGAAGCCTTGGACTGCTCATGGGCTGTGACGGCTACATTCTCTTTCTGACGGCCGTTTCTCTTCCTACAATCTCTCGTTACTCAGTGGCCTAAACTGGGCTTCTTACAAGGCAGGTGGCTCCCAAGAAGGAGAAAATGGAAGCTGCAAGGCCTCTTAATGGGCTGGGGTCGGAATTTACCAAACATCACTCTTGTCACATTTTATTGATCCTGTCAAGTCACAGAGCCAACCAAAGACTCAGGAGGAGGAGAAAAAACATCACTACAACTTACTGACACCACAGTGGGAAAACAAAACAAAAACGCATAGCCATCATGTAAAGGTGGCATTGTCATAAAAAGCAGTATTCTTTTATTATATCATTCATTTCAAATTTTTTTTTATTGAATGTACTGGGGTGAGATTGGTTAATACAACCACACAGGTTTCAAGTGTACAACTCCATAAAACGTCACCTGCACCCTGCACCCACTGCCCCAAGCACACTCATTCCACCCCATTTCCCCCACCCACCTCCACCTGCCCCACCCCCTTTCCCTCTAGCCATCACCACTGTTGTGTGTCTATGTGTTTTATTTATACGTTTTAAGATGTTCTTAAACTCATAACACAATTCATTACTTACTATCATTCTAAAATCTAAGCCTCAATAGATGTATAAAAAAATCCGCTCTGGATATTTATATAAAAACATTTTATGAAGGAAATTCTTATGGGATAAGTTCCAGGTGGGCCCTCAAAATAACAGCCCTTCTATTTATTTGTGTCCCTTAATTATTCTGATGGTATAGAATACAGAGGTGTGAGCAAAGATAAACAGAATATTTGGTACCAAAATAATATTCAAATAGTAATGAAAGAGCCCTGGCCGGTTTGGCTCAGCGGTTAGAGCGTCCACCTGCGGTCCGGAGAGACCCGGGTTCGGTTCCCGCTAAGGGCACGTACCTCGGTTGCAGTTTGTCCCCGGCCCTGGTTGGTCGTGCAGTGGCAGCCGCTCGATGTGTCCCTTTCGCATCGATGTTTCCCTCTCTCTCTCTTCCTCTCTCCCTCCCACTCTATCTGTACAAAAATGGAAGAATGTCCTCGGGTGAGGATAAAAAAAAAAAAAAGTAATGAAAGGAAATAGTGGCATGATGTAAAAATGTGCACTGCCTGGAGAATGGAATAGCCTATTTTTCTTTAAGTCAAAAGAGTTATAAAGGACCTACCTTATTAATGAATTGACAAAAGAATTCATTCTCCTTAAACTTTACATGGGGCAAAACTGAGACTAGAAGGACCTCCGTATGCTTCCACACAGTTCTCACGGTTATTTATGGTTTTAAGTAGAGCAGGTTAGTATTATATAAATGATATGAAAAGATACATGATGCTCTTAGCTCCCATTCCATATAAAACAAATATTCCCATATATACCTACCTGTCCACTACATGAAAAAGAAGGACTGAAAGTCACTTGCCATTTGTGCAGGAAGTCTTCGGCACTGTCACTGGCGGGCGAGACTGTGCAGGCGCTACGTCGGAAGGAGCCGTGGACCCTGTGTGATGAGCCTTTACTTTGTCAGCCCAGCTAACACCTGCGGGAGCCAGACGGGGGGCAGCCACGGTGCCAGGTGAAGCCCTGTGGGGAAAATGCCTGCTGCATTAATCCCAAATCAAATATATGGGTTAAATTTTAAGTACATACTTAATAGATTTAAATACTAAATAAATTATACTATTGTATCTGTGCGTATCCACAATGGCGAGGAACATATTACCACAGCAACTTAAGGCAAATACATTCATACATTTGTCTTGTTCTAATACTTCATTAACTTAATATAGTATAGCATATTCTATAAGAACCAAGATAATACAGAAGTTCTCAGTTCAGTTTAAAAGAAAATTTCAGCCCAGCTGGTGTAGCTCACTGATTGAGCATCGACCCATGCAGCAAGAGGTCACCAGCTCAATTCCCGGTCAGGGCACATGCCCAGGTTGTGGGCCCGATCCCCAGTGGGGGGCATGCAGGAGGTGGCCAATCGATGTTCTCTCTCATCAGTGTCTCTCTCTCTCCCCCTCTCCCTTCCACTCCCTAAAAATCAATAAAGAAAAAAAATATTTTTTTTAAATTTTCAGTTAAATTGGGAATCTTAGAAAATATGCATATGTAACTAAACCTTTTTCTCATTTAAAACTCGTACCTTTTTAAAAAATGAATGTGCATTAATTTGCCGCCCTACTGACACACACACTATTAAGAGAGGCTTTTCCTTGTGTACATTTCTTTCATAGCACACCAGCAGCCGAGTCACTGACGTCCAGCACTGGGTTCTTTAAAATGGAGTGAGACGTTAGCAACATCTACTAAATGTTCTAAGTGCACAATCCTTCCCAACTTTAGTTAACAGCTCCCCACTCTTTCACAATTGTCCTGTCTCACATAACAGCAAAATTTATTTTAATAGTTCATCCCTGGCAGGTTTGGCTCAGCGGTAGAACGTCAGCCCACGGACCAAAGAGTCACGGGTTCGATTCTGGCCAAAGGCACGTACCTCAGTTATGGTTCATTACTGGTCCTCGTTGGGGTTGTGCTGGAGGCAACCAGTCGATGTGTGTCTCTCACATCGATGTTTCTCTCTCTCCCTCCCTCCCTCCTTCCCACTCTATCTGAAAAAAAGTCAATGGAAAAAATATCCTGGGGTTGAGGATTTAAAAATAAACAAAAAAATAAAATAACATAAAAGACAAATGCATAAAACAATGATTATATAACTGTGCTGATATAATGTATAAAGATGTAATTTTTGTGACATTAACACAATGATAATATGTAGATCTTTTGTTTTGAAAGAAATTGCCAGTTCATGTTTTAGTGATTTAGCATGAAATATGTTCATGGGTTTCAATTTTGGGAACCTAATTATATCTGAATATATTATATTTCCTAAACTAAACTGTACTCTCCTGCAATTTTTTTTTTAATCCTCACCCGAGGATATTTTTCTATTTATCTTCTGATAGAGTAGGAGAGAGGGACAGAGAAGGAGGGAGAGAGAAACATTGATGTGAGAGGGACACATTGACTGGCTGCCTCCCACACAACCCAGACCAGGGCCAGGGATGAACTGCAACTGAGGCACGTTCCCTTGGCTGGAATCAAACCTGCAACTCTTTGGTCCGGCCAATGCTCTAACCACTGAGACAAACCAACCAGGGTACTCTCCTAAATTTTTTTTGTTTTTTATCCTCACCCGAGGACATTTTTCCATTTTTTGTTCAGGGGGAGAGAGGAAGAAAGAGAGAGAGAAACATCGAAGTGAAGGGACACATCGAATGGCTGCCATCCGCACAACCAACCAGGGCCGGGGACAAACTGCAACCGAGGTACGTGCCCTCAGTGGGAACCGAACCCGCATCTCTCTGTACTGCAGGCCGACGCTCCAACCGCTGAGCCAGTCCGGCCAGGGCGTCTTCTAAATTTTTATAAAACTTTTTATTCAAACAATTCAAAACAGATACACTACCATATACATGGGTATTTTTCTAACACAGTATCAGTTTTATAATACTTTAAGTATATTAACCACAGAAAATAATTTACTGTAATGAAAGCCTTAGTAGGTTCATCTCACCCAAAATTTAAGCTTCTTCGAGCATTCGAGGTCACATTTATTCTGTCCGTTGATGGACTTGGAATCACATGACGTCCTGGAGACATCTTCTTTACTTCCCATGCCAATGAAGTCGGTCTGCAAATTCAAGACACACACATTAGCTGTTTCCTGAAGCCGGCCTGTCATGTTGGGGCTTCCCTCTCCTGGCAGGGCTGCTTTCACTGTGTCCCACGGATGCTGTGTTATGTGTTCATTTTCATTTGTTTCCAAGCAGTTTTTTTTATTTCTTCCTTGTTCTCTTTGGTTCAAGACATACAGATTAAATAAACAGAGAAAAGAGGGGAAAACCTAATCTTTTCTCATAGTTACCAGTGGATGAAAACACATTTAGGTTACAAGTTTTCCCAGCAGCACTGATGACCAGAAAGTTACCGTATTACCAGTAAGCAATCACAGATGATGCAAGGTCAGGATTTCCCAAGCACTTCAGCACAGCAAATAACCCTACTTAATTAACTAAGAAGGGCCAGGGGCTGCAAAGACATGAGATACAGTATACTTACATTTTATAAGCCTCCACATACCCAACTAAAAACACATTTAAAAATGGGGTATAATGGCCCTGGCCAGATGGTTCAGGTAGTTGGAGTGGTGTCCCATACACTAAAAGGTTAAGGGTTCCATTCACAGTCAGGGCATGTGCGGGAGGTAACCGATCGATGTTTCTCTCTCACATCAATGTTTTCTCCCCACCTTCACCCCTTTAAAAATCAATGAAAACATATCCTTGGATGAGGATATTTTTTTAAAAGAAAAAAAAAATTGCTTCTTAAAAAAAAAGTGATACAGAGGTACTAATTCAGACTACTTGTGTGCAATGCCCTGGAGAAGTAAGCGTGCAGAACTGGGGTCAAGGCAGACACACAGCGTTGAGGGTGAAATGAAGAATGCGCAGGAAGCAGGCCGTCTCCTTCCTCCACCTGTTATCACCCATGCGAGTGAGCGCACAAACACGTCTGCTCTGCTGGGAAGGCTGACCTCTGACCTCATGGGCCCACAATCCGTCAGTGGTACAAGCTCCCCTGACACGTCCTCCTCAAGCACTGTCCTATCTGCTCCGTGCCTGTCAGACCTCCATGACGCCCAGGATCTCCGCGCCTCCCTCTCTCCGTCCAACCTAGCGACTCTGATATTTTCCTTTCATTGTGATATGGAACTGTTAGACGAGAAAATTCAGATAAAAGATTATCCAAATGAAGTCTAAAACATCCGCCAAATCACAAAGGTGGTCACAACTTCTACTTCCCATTGCCCTGGGAGCTCGCCCGCAGGTGGTGTCCTGTGCAGGGTGTCCACTGGCTTATGAGAGGCAGCACGGAGCCCAGTCTGAGCCATCTGCTCTCTTGCACTCGACAGGAAGTTTCCTGACTCCTGTGCTACTTTCCGTCCTGTAATGACTTCCTTCTCCTACAGGAATTTCAGTGACAGTGTTTAACTTTTTGAAAAACCATCAGTAAAATGGTATTTGTGATTGTTTATCAAATTTTTATGTGTTTATTATTACTACTACTGAGGTGGAACTTTTTACAACTATTTTAATTTCTCCTTTTGGAATTTGCATGTTGGTATCTTTTGCCCATTTTTTTCCACTGTGATTCGTATCATCTTTTAGTTGATTTGAAATCGTTTACTACTCCTCCTATTACTATTATGGCTATAAATCCTTTGGGGTAGATGATATGCCTATTTCACTTTTAATTTAATTTTTTATGTAGAAAAGCATATTTTCTTCCTATTAAATCAAGTCTATCAATATTTTCCTCTGTGATTTTGTCTTGCAGACTCCTTACCCACAATAAAAATATATAAATATGTATCTATATTTTCTCTAAATATGTATAATTTCCGATTTCATATGTAAGTCTCAAGACTAGGTGGAATGAATCTGGACACACAATTTGAGGAAGGTGAGCTGAGAAATGCTGCCGTCCACAGCAAACTCAGGGTTGCTCTGTATCTGAGGGCTGCCTCAGGCGGCAGAGGAGAAATGGTGCTAACTGGCTCAGGTAAGAAGAGATGCTCCAGGTGTGTTGTGAGCCATGGAAGAGCCCTCACGCTTGGACTTGGCCTCGCAATCTTCTCAATACAGAACCCAACATAGCCACCACTGGCTGGCTGGAGTTTACAAGCAAAAAACAAGTCTAGTTAGCTTTCCGTATGCACTGGTGGTCACATCACAGACAATCAAGGTAAATAAAAAAGAAAAAGAAAATAAAGATTTGCTGAAAGGATATAAACTGTACAAGGTAAGGACACCCAAGGGGAGGAGGGACTAGAATCAGGGTTCATGAGGGTCAGACCTGGAAGAGATGGGCTTTAAAGCACCACCCTTAAATTCTCAAAAACCACGCGGCTTCCTTTCTCTGCTTCTCAGTGTCTAGTCCAGTTTCTTTAACCTGCCTCCCTTTGCTTATCTTCACGAGGGCAATACAGCCACCCATCCCAAACCAGCATGACCTCTTAACCTGCTTCCCCCCAGTGAAGAAATGCACCCCCGCGTACCACACCCGATCACTGGCTGCAAGGGGTGAGGGGAACAGCTGAGAGGACAGCTCAACCTGACCCGCCCAGGAGCTCTCAGTAAAGCCACACTCCAAAAAAAAACCACGTCAAAATTTTTACTGGGAGAAACAAAAATGTTGAGGATCTACACATCATGGTTTCCCGGATTTGGTTTCCTGCGGAATCAAACTTTCCTGGACCTCTCTTGGGATCCCTTCACTCTCCTGGTCCCCCGGGGCAGACACACGAGGATGGGACAAAAGGTGCATTCTCCACCAGCTGGTTCCCCTTACTGAGGCTGAACCAGGTCAAATCCAAGGGAAGGGCAGCCTGGGCCTGTTTTCTTTGGGTAAAAAGACATCATTGTAGCTCCACGTGACTTGGCCCAGCTCAAAAGGGATCAGGTTTCACTTAAAAAAAGGTTTTTAATAAAAACCTTTTATGGCTCAAAATAGAGTGTACAGTTCTGACATGTCTACAGTACCCCAGATACCTGTCTGGTCCCAGATACCTGTCTAGGCTCCCCTGAAGCTCCTCTTCCCCTGTCCTCTTCACTCCAGCCCCAACTCCACTGTGCCCTCTTCCGCCTCCTGGATATCATGCACACCATCACCTCCAATGCGAAGCCTCTTCTCTCCTCTTTGTCAAGGTAAGGCCAACCTGGTAGTTCTGTCTCACTTACACAGAACCTCCCTGGGGAAGCCTTCCTGGACTCGGCAAACCGGCTGAGGAGCATATTCTCAGACTCCCAAACCACACTGTGCTTCCTTTGACGCCGCTTTGCACTCTGCTAGGAATGTGGCATGAGGCTCTCCTGGGGATGCCCCCACTTCACGAGGGCAGGGGCTGAGTCTGCTCCCTTTGCCACAACAGTCCCAGAGCCTGGCGCAGGCTCTCAGATGTTGCATGCTGATTCCAGGTGAGCATCTGTGGGGTGGCTTTGATCTCTCATTATTCCCCTAAAAATCACCCATTTCCTCACTGCCTGCTACATTAAGAAGAAACACTATGCCTTCCCCCACACTACATCCCTTTCACACATGCTCTGCACTACCATAGCTACTTAGTCTACTTCCTTCCTCCGAAAGGCCAACCACGTGCTGAAATTCATCACACCCTCCACACACATCTGCTGCCTCCACGAGATCTTTCCTAGTCTACCCCCAAAAGAGATGGCCCAGTCCTTGTGTGAGCACCTGCAAGTTTCCTGCAGCAGTAAGCCCTACCTCACCCCTTAGACTCTGGTCCGTAGCAGTGAGCACTCAGCAGCCAAGTGCCTACATGTGGCATCAGTGGGCACCAAGTGAGCAGCTGCCGCTGGGCTGAGGGCAATCTGCTGTCAACTCTGGTGTCTGCTGGAGAACACTGGCTGCTGTGGACACAGGGCCAGTCATTACCTGCTTTGCGCATCTGTCTTCTCTAGCTTCTCCTGAAGTTGAATCCAGTCAATCAATGCTTTGAAATCTCTGACATAGTTATCCAGCATCATTAGCACCTCCTAATTGAAAACAAATAACAAACATTAAACACCATTCTAGACTAAAAAGTTTCAAAGAGCACTTTTACACCATACTACTCCTCATTGAGGAAGATGCAAAACCTACTGATGTCATTTTTGGATTTCATTTTATTTCATTCTTACTGTTTGGCAAGAAGTAAGTTAAATTGAGAATCTAAAGACCAAGAGATGATATTGCCATTCCTTCTCAAGACCTCCAGAATGATCCTTCTTTTAACCCTCTTCACTGTGAAGTCAATTAACAGAAAATGTACAAAACACAAATGTAAAGATAAATTATTTCAAAGCAAAGACCCACAAAACTACCACCCAGGACAAAAATACAAGGCCAGTCTCTCAAAGTTCCCTGGTGTCCCCTCCCTATCACTACTTCATCGCTCTCAAAGTTTACCAGTGCTTTAACCCCTAATAGTCTAATTTTATCTGATTTCAAAATTCATATAAACTCATAGCGTAGGTATTATTTTGTGGTTTCTTCTGTACATCTGTTTACTAGGTTCATCGGCATTTCAGAGCGTACCTGCAATTCATTTACTGTCGATGTCCAAGGTCACTACTGAATAGTATTTTTTAAATACACATTTATTTATCCAAGCAACAGCTGAATAGTTGGGTGACTTCCAAATTCTAGACATTACAAATTATATGCTGTTGTTCATGCAGACATCCTCTGCACACATGGACGCATTTCTGTTGCGCCTAAGCCCACGGAGTCACAGGAAAAAGCAGTTCCATCTCAGTGCATGGGACTTAACAGCTTTCAAGGAGGCTGCCATTCCACCAGCAGCACAGGAGGGCTCTCTTGTCTCCACATTCTCTCCAACACTGGTTGTTTCTTGTCTTACTGATAACAGCCATTCTAACAGGTGTAAGGTGGTATCTCACTATAGCTTTTATTTGCATGTCCCTTATAGCCAGAGATGTTAAGGATTTTTCCTTCCATCTGTTCGCCCTCCGTATGTCTTCCTTGGAAAAGAATCTATTCAGGCCCTCTGCTCATTTTCAATTGACTTTTTCCTTGTAAGTTGTATGCGTTCTACAACAGCCAAGACATGGAAACAACCAAGTGGCCTCCAACCAATGAATGGATAAAGAAGATGTACACCAGGCCGTTGTGGCTCACTGGCTGAGGGTTGGCCCATGCACCAAAAGGTCACCTGGTTCGATTCCCAGTCAGGGCACATGCCAGGGTTGTGGATTCAATCCAGTAGGGGTGTGCAGGAGGCAGCCAGTCGATGTTTCTCACATTGCTATCTCTCTCTCTCTCTCTCTCTCTCTCTCCTCTCCTCCCTCTCTCAAATCAATAAAAACATATTTTTCTGAAAAAAAAAAAAAAAAAAAAGATATAGTACATATCTACAATGGGATACTACTTGGCCACAAAAGATGAAATATTCCCACCTGTGGCAACCCGGACGAACCTGGAGGGCATGGTGCCAAATGGAACAAGTCGGACAAAGGACAGGAACCACATGACCTCACTCACCGTGCAGGTACAAAACCAAAAGGTACAAATGAACAAACAAAACAAATCAAAAACCAAACACACAGACACAGACAAGAGAATGGTAGTTGCCAGAGGAAAAAGGAATTGGGAGGAGGACAAACAGGGTCAAGGGGGTCACATACGAGGTGATGGAAGGAGACTAGACCTGGTGGTGAGCATATAACAGAGTCCACAGGTGTTACATTATAAAGTTGTACACCTGAAATTTACATAATGTTATTAAACAATGTTACTCCAATAAATTTAACTTTTGAAATGATCATGTTTTATAAATACATTACTTTTACATAACTAAGTTTTAGACCAAATTTATAAGTTATCAGTAGTACTCAAAGACCTCAAAAACACTTTTCAATTATAAATGTTTAAAAAGATATAGCTACACTCTGCAAATCAGGCCCAACATTAAAAATAAATATACACCTAAATTACTCATAAACAAAATACAGTACTAACCTCACTTTAGTCACAAAAGTTATATTCTATGTTAAAAGTTTCTTCTGAACAAAGTATTGTTTATTTTCTTTCAAAGGCAATGCTCAGTGCCAAATCACTGGTAGTAATAGTCTTCTACAATCAGGAAAAGGAAAAATCTTTTAATTTAGTTGGCTTCCTTTTCTCAATTCTACTAATATAATTCAAATTATTTAATTAAATTTGTTCAACTTAAATCACGCATTTTAGAGCACAGAAAGATTAAATTCAGAATAATTTATTCCATAAGTTTTCTGCATTTCCCTTTTAAAAGAGGAGGACAAGGAAGAGGAGGAGGAGGAGGAGGAGGAGGGGGAGGGGGAGGAGGAGGAGGAGGAGGAGGAGGAGGAGAAAGCAACCCTCTACAGGACGATATGAGCAGCTCTCCCTCCGACACCGGCTGGCACAGAGAAAGGACGTTTGGCGGCTCGGACACCTACTTTAAGGAATGTTTAGCTCGGCGTTATCAGCAATGATCAGAGGGGTACCAAGCAGCGGTAACCTGAGCCCTGCCTCACGAACAAGGGAACACAAACAGGACGAGCAGCTGGAGCAGCCCCACCGCTGATGCCATCTTCCTCCCCACGGCCGTGAAGGCCATTCTGTCAGGCAGGACAAAGCAGAACAAAAGTGCCTCTGAAAGAAATGTTATAGGCACTCAGATAAGTACATATAGATGTACAGCTAAAATTACCAATTAGTTTACCAATTGGCTGCAACGGATTTGATTGGTTTGTAATTAATTCTAGTTGCTGGCGCACAGTGCAGGACGGTTGGCGCCATCCCTTTGTCCTCCTGACACACAACACCAGCCCACAGGCCCCAGGGCCCAGGATATCAATACGGCCTCCAGCGCAGCTGCAGGAATGAGCAGGGCGAGCCTAGTGGTGAAGAAGGGGTGGGAACTTGCATCCCATGAGAAGTCAGCAATAAAGGACCTTGTTAAAGAAAGAGCTTTTCCAAAATTGAAACAAGTTTTAAAAAGCATGATTTTTAAAATCATGCTAAAAAAGAAGGGCTTTTTTTTTAAAGCTACTAACGGAATAGTAGTTCAAAATGGAAATCATCTGAAAGCAAAACAGCAGGTAAACCACTCTCATGATGCTAACTAACAACATCCTGCAATTGTCCTCAATAGCAGTTCAGTCCCCTCAAACCCTGGTGAGAACAGGCTGGGATCAGCCACCCTCAGCACCTGTGCCCTCCCCACCCTGCAGCCCACTTCCTGAGGGAGAAGGGAACACAGTGCCCTGGGAGAGCTCAGTTCTGTTGGAATGTCAGTTCTCAACAAGTCACGTAGACGTGGCTGAGGGCATAATCGGCACATCTTCAAACTAAAAAAGAGAAATTTAACCTCTTTTGATTACAGAGGTGGGCTCTGGTCCAAGTCCTGGCTGAAATAGAAAACATAGTTTTTACTATCATATTACACTTATAATGTGAACTACATAATATAGGTATTATTCACCACATTTTACATATGAGACAAAGAACTGGATTGTGGTTTGTTAGCTAAGGTTAAAACACAAAAATCACAAGTAGGAATACACCTTGTGAGTACTTCTGTAAATCAAGGGTTGAATCCACCTAAAATGAGGGAAAAAATCTGGGTTATGCATCTCACAAAGACACTAATCAAATGAGATAATGGATGAAAGTGCTTGTATAAAAGAACAGAAAGCCCTGGCCCGTTTGGGTCAGCGGTTAGAGCGTCAGCCTGTAGACCAGAGAGACCCAGGTTCGGTTGCTGCTAAGGGCATGTGCCTCCGTTGCAGTTTGTCCCCGGCCCTGGTGGGTTGTGTCGGTGGCAGCCACGCGATGTGTCCCTTTCACATCGATGTTTCTCTCTCTCTCTCCCTCTCTCTCCCTCCTACTTTATCTGAGCAAGAAGTGGAAAATGTCCTCAGGTGAGGATAAAAAAAAAAAAGACAGAAAAACAAACAACAAAGTCTAGGTATTATACAGCCAGCACATACTTCAACCAAATGCTGCACTGTATCTTTTGTATCCCCAACCTGTAAGTCCTGGATGGGAGAGTAGTGGTGCTGGGTATGAAAATAACTCTAAAGCTCCCAGATTTTATTTCTCAGTGTAAGCCTTGGAGCATCTTGGCACAGTACAAAGAACAGAGAACATGTCTCTTTACCCTCTTACTTTGTCAAAACCTTCTCCATTCTTATAACCTACAACTCGAACAAGTTTCTATTGCTGTTAAACTTTCATAAGCTTTGGGTAGCGAGTGACAGGGCCAGAAGTAAGAGCCACACTGCCGTATCGCCAAGTCCAGCTTCCCCAAATACGGTATCGGAGAAAGAGGCAGGAATTTCTCCTGCTCATCAGAAACACGATTACAATTGGTCAAACTCATTTCTATCAAGAAGTACACACTTTACTAACAAATTCAATTTCTTCAATCAACCTTCTGTTATTTTTCAACATAAACTCAAAGAATCTGCTAATCTGACTGATCTCTAGGGCTGACCGAGAGATTACCAAGGCCCACATGCTCATTTATATAAAAAACAATAACCCAAAATGAAGTCCAATGGTGTTTTGTATCACAAGATGCTGATCCATTAAACTCTATCCATGGGTATGATTTTGCCCAAGAATATTTATTTTTTAAACAAGAAATTTTATATGTTGACAATAACAATATTGTGACAATCAAATCATAAACTTAGATGATTTCAACCACTGTTCATTCTAAAAATCTGCTTCTGATGAATCATATTTTTTTGGTACGTGCCCCTCGTGGGAACCGAACCCAGGACTCTCTGGTCTGCAGGTCAATGCTCCAACTGCTGAGCCAAACCGGCCACGGCTGATGAATCGTATTTTTAAGTACATCTAAAACTTGTTTTGGTTGTTTCCAATTTTAATATTTTTTTTTCCACCCTCACCCGAGGACATTTCCATATTTTGTTCAGATAGAGTGGGAGGGAGAGAGAGAGAGAGAGAGGGACACATCGAGTGGTTGCCACCCAACTGCAACCAAGGTACAAGCCCTTAGTGGGAACCGAACCCGGGTCTCTCTGGACCGCAGGCCGCCGCTCTAACCGCTGGGCCAAACCGGCCAGGGCTGGTTGTTTCCAATTTTAAAGGAAATGTAGCTGCTGTGTCAACATGTAACTTTTCTTTGACCCTACATATAGTTCAAAGGTCACCCTGGCCGGTTTTGCTCAGCGGTTAGAGCGTCAGCCTGCGGTCCAGAGAGACCTGGGTTCAGTTCCCGCTAAGGGCATGTACCTCGGTTGCAGTTTGTCCCCAGCCCTGGTTGGGCTGTGCAGGTGGCAACCACTCGATGTGTCCCTTTCACATCGATGTTTTTCTCTCTCTCTCTCTCTCTTCCTCTCTCTCCCTTCCACTCTATCTGAACAAAAAACAAAAAAATGTCCTCGGGTGAGAATTTAAAATAAATATATATATATATATATTTCAAAGGTCAAGTAATGAATTCCAAGGTTTTCAACCCTGTTCACTGTAGAAACAGAAGAAGCTACCTTTGTAATAGTTCTATAAAGATGTCACTCTGGTTTTTCTCAAAATAATTTTTTTCAATATAAATTAATATAGCATATAGTTTGTATTTACTAAAAGGCCAACCTTTGGGGACAGCTAATGCTGTGTATTTGTTTAATATCCTATTACAAACACAAGGTTATCTAAAAATAGAAACCTCACTGATGACATTCATTCCCACCAAGGACTGCTTATGGGTAGCCATCAACCTCACTTTCCCCTGACCAGAGTGAATTAGGAGAGTGATCAGTATCTCAACAAAAAGGAAGCAATGACCAATTAAAAATATTAAAGACAAAACCAAAGAATGTGACGATCTCACTAGTGCCACCTACAGGACTGAGGGAGAATGAAGATGAGAGATTTTAAAACCGTTGTGTTCCATCCCTTTGATTTCTTGCCCAGGACTACATATCAAGACGGCTGTGTACCAAATCTTGCACAGAATATTAAAGTACATAATTAGGTAATGCAGAAAACCACCTCAAAGTCCTCCTGAGAAACCAAAGCCAAGAAAACCTGAAGCACTGGTTGCAAGGTGTGGCGGAAACAGGGAGAGGCTGGTCAAAGGCTACAAACTTACGGCTGTCAAGTGAGAAGGTTCTGGGATTAATGTGCAGCATGGCCAGTACAGTTCATGTTACCATACTATGTTCTGAGAAATGAGCAACTCAGGTGTAGCAAAAAATGGAGCCTCTGGCTCCAAATGGATTACCAAGCCTCAAAGCAAAACCTACCTTACATTCCACCACACTCTGATCCGATTCACAGGTCACGTAGATCTCATCTACTGCCCGGCGAAGATTGTCGAAAAGAAACGCCCAGTATCTGGCCCTCAGATCAATTTTGCGAGGGTGCCTTGTTTTCGTGGGACTTTTATCGAAATGTTTATCTCCAGCTGTAGAGGATACTTTACAGTCTGCTGTGGTGTTCTGGTGAAGTGAAACAAAACATAAAAACATATTTTTTAAAACACTCCAGGAATTGGTTCTTACCTACAGCACATTTTTCAACACAAATACTTAAAAACATAACATTCCTCTTTCCAGCTCACACCACAGCACACTGACCCGATCTAAAGAAAGCTGCTCCTCAAACAGCAGCCAGGTCTGCCGGTCCAGTCTTAGTTCAGACGTGTCTCACTGGAGACACAGGATGGCTTCTGCTGTGACTAGACCTCATTCAAAAGGGAGCAGCCCCGATGGCTGGAACACATGTGCAGCACATTTACACACATCAACAAATAATGAAGACCAAGGTCAGTAATTTTTTACTTTTTGTTAATTCTCACCGAGGGAATTTTTTCCATTGATTTTTTTTTTTTTTTTATCCTCATCCGAGGACATTTTTCCATTTTTTTGTACAGACAGAGTGGGAGGGAGAAAGAGGAAGAGAGAGAGAGGGAAACATCGATGTGAAAGGGACACATCGAGTGGCTGCTACCCGCACGACCAACCAGGGCCGGGGACAAACTGCAACCGAGGTACATGCCCTCAGCGGGAACCGAGCCCGGGTCCCTCCGGACCGTAGGTGGACGCTCTAACCACTGAGCCAAACCGGCCAGGGCTCCATTGATTTTTTAGAGTGGAAGGGAGGGATGGAGGTGGGGGGAGGAAGAGAAGAAGGGAGAGAAACATCTATGTGAGAGAGACATCGACTAGCCGCCCCCGGCATGCGCCCTGACACACAGGGAATCAAACCTACACTCTAACCACTCAGTCACACCAGCCAGAGCCAAGGTCAGCATTTTGAAACAGCTTGCATATTTTCTTTTCATTGAGAAAAGAATAACATATACTACACAATTCTATTTAGTTGCTTAATTTTACTGTAAATTATTTTTCAACTTACAGTAAAATTAATACATAAATACAAAACAATTGACTAGAAAAAATACACTCATGTATTAGTAACACCAAGCACCAAGGTCAGCTAGAGCAGACTCACCAAATAAAGTAACTACAGTGTTTCTGTGACCCATTCTCTCCTCAGTTCCTTGTACTTCCTTGTTTGAAAGTACAAGGCCATATTCTGTACTGTCACAGACTGCACCTCTAACAAAACCTTGTGAGCATTTACAGCAACAAGCAATCACAGGTCACTTTGGGGTTTTCTGATGTGTGTGTATGGTTCCTGTTTGCTTATCTGTTTTTTTCTTTTTCATAGAAGAGCTCTAGGGGAGAGACTATCTGACACAGAGGCTAAGAGCCCTCGTTTTGTTTTAGGTTCTGGCCTTCAATGTAACAGACCTTACAAATCGTTTGCAGCCAGCCTTCAGCTTGCACAGAACTGTCACTGCCCAGAAGCAAGCACACAAACCACGCACAAGCGTGCACACGTGCTGTTCTGTCCGCTACTTTCCCAAGAACTATGGCAATGCCATCAACAATCTGCACAAGCCTGTAGATCATAATCAACTTCACATCATCTCCTAACCCCTTCACACAGTTTTCAAAGTATAGATTATCAGCTCCACTTTACAGCTTAGAAAATGAGGTTCAGAGGTCCCCCAAATGGCCAAGATCACAGCCACAGGGACCCTCTCCTTGGAGCTCGACCGCTTCACTGCTGCCAGGCCCTGTGCTGTCACCTGCACCAGACGTTTCAGACCAGCTCACTGCTCTTCCTGCCGACCACCCCATGTTAAAGTGAACTTGGGACGTTTCCCAAAGTATACCCCCCTCAAAGATTTTCTACAGTGATCAGCAAAGGGCTGGTAGCTTCCTGTGCATTCAGACTATAATCTACGTTCTCAGAAAAATGTTCCGTGATCTTCACCCATTTAGGTATTTATCTGTCAGCATCCATGTGTACATTACTCAAATACATCGCCATCGTTTTGTATAAGGTAGAATAGGCAATATTGTTTTCAGGGTAAGATGTTTCTACTCTTTATGACTGCTCAAAGTGAGGCTTTTACTAAGAAAGATTCCGGAAAGGCAGAAACTACAGCTGGGTGACTCCATCCAAAAGGCAATGTGCAATGCAAAGTTGACATTTAAATTTGACAAAAATGGCAATACTTTACATTTGCATGTTTTTCATGGTTTATGACCGGCTTTCGAAACATAACGTAATTTAATCATCACATCAACCTGTAAAGACAAGACAATATTCTCTGTGCGCTGCCTGTCGATCCCACTATATCCCCATCCCACTCCCAAACCTCTGGCAGCTACTGATCCTTTTACCGTCCCCACAGTTCTGCCTTTTCCAGAATGTCATATAGTTGGAATCATACGGTGTGTAGCCTTTTCACGTTGGCTTCTTTCACTTAGTAGTATGCATTTAAGGTTCCTCTGTGTCTTTTTATGTCTTGATCGCTCATTTCTTTTCAGCACTGAATAATATTCTGTGTCTGGGTGGACCACAGTTTATTTATCCATTCACCTGCAGAAGGATATCTTGGGCGCTCCCAAGTTTTGGCAATTATGAACAAAACTGCTAATAAATATCCACATGCGGGTTTTGCGTGGACATATGTTTTCAACTCTTCTACGTAAATGAATACCAAGGAGCATTACTGGGGGATCCTGCAGGAAGAGCGTGTCCAGCTCTGCAGGAACTGCTGACTGTCTCCCACAGCGGCAGCACCAGGCTGCCTCCGTCAGCGGTGCGCGAGGGTTCCTGTGGCTCCCCAGCTCGCCAGCCCTTGGTGGTGTCAGTGTCTCTGAGTCTGGCCATTCCAGCAGGTGTATGATGGCCCTCACTGCTGTTCTAACTTGCGTGTCCTTGATGACATACGATGTGAAGCATCTTTCATACACGTATTGCTGTCTGCACATCCTCTTTGATGAGGTGACTGTTAAAGGCTGAGGCCTGCTTTTTCATCAGGTTGGTTGTTTCTTCTTGTTGAGTTTTAAGAGTTCTTCGTATATTCTGCATAACAACTCCTTATCAAATGTATCTTTTGCAAATATTTCCTCCAAGTCTGTGGCTTGTCTTCTCATTCTCTTGACACCATCTTTTACAGATATGAAGTTTTTAATTTTAATGAAACCCAGCCTATCAAGGATTTCCTTCATGGACTGTACCTTTGGTGTTGTATCTACAAAGTCATCACCAGGCCCTGGCCAGTTTTGCTCAGCGGTTAGAGCGTCGGCCTGCAGTCCAGAGAGACCCGGGTTCAGTTCCTGCTAGGGGCATGTTCCTCGGTTGCGACTTGTCCCCGGCCCTAGTTGGGTTGTGTGGGTGGCAACCACTCGATGTGTCCCTTTCATGTTGATGTTTCTCTCTCTCTCTCCCACTCTATCTGAACAAAAAATGAAAAAACGTCCTCGGGTGAGGATTAAAAAAAAGGCCCAGCCATTGTGGCTCAGTGGACTGAGTGCCATACTATGGACTGAGAGGTCCCAGTTCGATTCCCAGTCAGGACACATGCCCAGGTTGCGGGCTCAATCCCCAGTGAGGGGCGTTGCAGGAGGCAGCTGATTGACGTATCTCTCTCACACTGATGCTTCTCTCTCTCCAAAGAAATCAATAAAAACATATTGAAACAAAACATCATTAAAAACAAGTCCTCGCCAGGAGTGACACCAGCACTATGGTGAGCAGGCGCTGCCTTTGTCTCCCCTCCACCTGTAACCAGTGGGTCCTCTCTAACCCAACCAGGATTCCTCCACTCAATGCACCAGCACACCTGGGACCCAGGTACCTCTACATCTGAAGGCAAGCGGACTGGAGCACACAGAGGGGTGAAACAGGCAGAGCCACAGGATGGTGCCCGCGACTCGGCTCCCGGCTGCCATGGCTGAGCCTGCAGTCCCGGCAAACTTTGTGGCAGCAGCCGAGATGGGACCTGACTCTGCCCACCCCATCCAGGGCTCCAGCAAAGGAGAAGGATAGTAATAGCATCCACATGTGTGACTCTAGCTCCACAATCAGCTGCAACGGCGCCCACACGACCAGAGCACGGAAGCAGCAGCACAGACACACGCTACTGCAACCTCCGGCCCCCCAGCACCTGCAGCCACGGGGAGTGGGGCTCGCAGCACCGGCCCAGCCCTCAGTAGCAGCATCTGCAAGCCTGACAACCCCAGGATAAGCAGAGGCGCAGGATACCCAGGCTCTGCCCCCACTAATGCAATCCCCATGCCATGGAGACACTGCCCAAGACCCACCAGACCCTAGACGCAGCAGGGGCATGCTATCCCAGTGGCTACAGCAGGGACACCGGCAGCAGCAAGGTACCAGCGACCCCCACAAGCAGCACAAAGAGGGCACCTCTGGCGGAGATCCTGGGGGCAGACATACTGGCTGTCAAATCCAACCAGTCAGCTCAGGTAAGAGAAACCAAAAACCTGTCCTACGGCGCCACCTACTGGAAAACAAAAAAGGCCTCTAATTACCGACCTGCTGACTTACCAGTGAAAAAACGCTCAACCTAAATAGGAAAGTTGTTCACTACTTCACACACACTGGCTGGGGAAAAGCCCATCAAGCACCACAAATAACCACAGTAACACAGTATCACAAAAAGAAAACAGCAATTCTCCAGAAACAAAACTCAGAGTCACGGAAGATTGTGATCAAAATGATAAGAAAATTCAAACTGGCAGAGTGGCTCGGGTGGTGAAGGTGTTGACTCCTACGCCTGGGTTTGACTCCCAGGCAGGGCATCACTGGCACATACAAAAACTGACTGATATTTCTCACACTGATCTCTCTTCCTCTCTCCCCGTCCTTTCCTTTCTCTCTGAGAATCAATGGAAACATATCCTTGAGTGAGGATTTAAAAAAAGGGAATTCAAAATCACTATCCTGAAGAAGCTCAACGAGATGTAGACAACTCAGAAAGGCAGCTCGGTGAGCTCAGGTAAAATTAAGGATCAGAACGAGTACTTCACCACAAGGTTGAAACTATATGAAAAACCAAACAAATCCTGGAGCAGTAGAACACAATTAATGAGAGGAAAGTGCATTAGACAGCCCCGGGAACAGAGCAGACCCCACACGGGAGAGAAGACCGAAGTCTAGAAATGATCCCATGGAAGAGAAACCTACGATTTTTAAAAAACGAAAGACCTCTGTGGGAACTACCTGCCTCCATGCAAAAGGGCAACATCGGATGGTGGGAATTCCAGATGAGAAGGGGGGAGGGAACAGAGTGCCTACTTAAAACTTAATAGATGAGAACTTCCCAATCCTGGGGAAGGAGCTGCACATACAATACAAGAAGCTGATAGAACCAGTCATTATCTCAACACTGAAAGACTTTCTGCAACACACATTATTAAAGTTGTCAACAGTCAAGGATAAAGAAAGAAATCTAAAGGCAGCCACGGAGAGAAGACAGTGCAAGGAGAAGTCAGTAAAAGTGGCATGTGCTGCACCTGTTTCGAAGTCTTGTGAGTGCCTTGAATTGTCCTCTTTGACTTTCCACCAGTCTGACATTTAGATTTTCCTTCAAGGCAAGAATAAATAAATACAGAGATCAACAAATAGGTAATATAAAATAAAACTACCCAAATCATTCAGGCATATGAACACGTATCTCCTTCTATACATGGTCAATCTGAACTACAGATATAATAAAAAACAAACTCCCAAGGTCCCAGAGACTTTTTATGGAACAGCTTTCTCAGAACAGAAGTAAATCAACTTCTTAAAGAAGTCGGATTTTCTGACAATGTAAAAACAAGGTCAAATAAAAAACTTCGGCAAAAAAAAAAGTGTTGATAGGTTCTGAATAAACATTTGTTTCATGAATGAAAAAAATGAAGAAAATGTCAAGTTAGTAATACTTCTCAACATATATATATGTATATATATAAGGTCTGAAAAATAGTTATTTGAATTCAAGTTGTATTTCAACAATAAAATTAAGAATACAATTTTTACCACATAACTCAGTATTTTGTTTTGATTAACTTTAAAAACCACTAATCAGCCAGTCATAAAAATATGACAAACCCAAAATCATTGCTATGTAAAACAGTAAGATTAATAATAACACTTTCCCGAAACCATGTGCGTGGCAGATAAAAAGGCAATTAAAAAAATTTACTTCTGCCCTGGTCAGTCTAGCTCAGCAGTTTGAGCGTTGGCCCGCAGATCAAAGAGCCGTGGGTTTGAATCTGGCCAAGGGCACGTATCTGGGTTGCAGTTCACCCCCTGGTCCCAGTTGGGGTCATGCAGGAGGAGGCACCCAATCAATGTGTCTCTCTCACATCAATATTTCTCTCTCTCTTTCTTTCTCCCTCTCTATCTGAAGATAAATAGAAAAATATCCTCAGGGGAGGATAAAAAAAAATTATTTCTTATTTAATTTATACTAATTTACCCAGGAGTCCTAATTATAAGCAGTGTACAGTCTATCTACAGTTTAGGAATAAATATGACCTTCTACCTCACCACAAAACAAAACGTACTGTTAACACACACCATCGTCGTCTTTGCTTTCCAGCGGAACACTCCAGGCAATGAGATTTCTGGCTGTGCGACCCTCCTCTGCAACGATTCTCCTCACTTTGTCATGACTATTGGAGCGCTGGAATGAAGCCTTTGCACAGAAAAAAGAGTATTTATTAAATATGTTTGGCAGACAAATTCATTATTTCTTCTATTTCTCAGAAAGAAAACACTCAAATTCCATTCATTTTTCATAATCCTATTCTTTCCAAAATGTAAGTAGTAACTTAAGTACAACAGTTTCAAACATTTTAATCTAAGCAAGCACCAGGATTTGAAATGTAATAAATGAGTCTGAGATAATTCACAATGTTGTAGATGTCTAGTTCAGAAAGTATTTACACCTGGATTATTTCTTCCAGAAGACAAACAAAAGACATCATTTCCACCTGAAGTCAGTGTGCCCTCTAGAGCCACATGGGTTTTTACAGGGTTTCTTCAGATAGTAGGTGTTTCAATAAAAAGCATAAACATCAGTTTCAAGTGAAAGTTTTTATATTCAACTCTTATAATATAGAATCTAATAAAGCAATTGTTCAGAATGTTCACCAAAGGGTTTACAGATTTCTGACACTTGTTCCTAGTCTAGGAAAAAAATTTTAACAGATCTCTAAATAATTTCTACTTTTAGCAACTTCAATGATATCAAGCATTATTTATTAAATTTTTATGTGTGCATCTACATAAAAATACCTACTTTACACAAGTTCAAAATCCATCCATAATACTACTTGCCCATAAAATGAAATTATCTTCTTTTTCAAAACGGTTTTTCAGCTTTCCATATACTTCAGAGAAGAACCTTTCTCTTAAATTCCCTCTACCAAAGCCTTTCATATTTTAAGTAGCATGAAGGGAAGATTACCAGTCAGTGAACACCAGGAGTACATTAAGATTGTAAGAATGGTAGACTTACAAATCCTGTTTCACAAACCATGAAACTTACCTGAGAAGGTCAGTAACTGGTACAATTTCCCTAACATTATAGAACGATGAGCTGGAATTCCATTCAGTAACCTATGATAACTCTGTCAGTCCTTACTGGTATTCATACCTTTCTAAAGGTAAAGCCCTTCAGGGGTGGGGAACGTCCGGCCCACAGGCCGTATAAAGCCTGCAAAATCAATACCAGCTAACGTCACATGCCACACCAAATCAGCCTGACCAAATACAGCAGCTAATTTTTAAGTCGATAATTTTGCATGGCCCAAGAATGATGTTATAAATATCCAAATGGCCCTTGGCAGAAAAATGGTTCCTACCCCTGCCGAGGCTGTGAATATAACATGTATATAACATATACACAAACATACACACATTTGCAAATCGATTCCAGGTAAGATATCACAACCAAGTTGAGTTTATTTTAGGAAAGCAAGGTTAGTTTAACATTTTCAAGCCAAATCGCCATATTAACAGAATAAAGGAGAAAAGGCTTACATTAATCTCAAAAGATAAAAAAAGTGGTAAAATTCAACACCCATATATTATAAAAATTCTACACAAACTACAGCAAACATCACACTGAATGGTTTAATTGAAAGAAGGATGCGTACCATCACCACTTCCATTCAACATTGTAGTAAAGGTCCAAGCCTGTGCAATAAGGTGAGAAAAATGATGAGACAGGAAAAGCAAAGACACGATGCATCTGAAAACAGTTTGTTACACTAGAAAGTACAGAAATGCTCAGAGAATAACAGGGACACATCAAAGGACAAGAGCCACCTTGAAGGAGCTTCCACTGGCTAAGGCTGGGAAAATCTCACCATGAAAATAATTAATGACAGTGATAGATTACAACCTTAAATGAAATTAAAAATCTGAGAACACAGACAGATAACTGGGGAGAATGTAAACCTTTTCCTCACAGTAGGTCTTTAAACGGTTACCATCATGGGTGCTGAAACCAGGGGGTGACAGTCTGATGAGGTACAGGGTACTTACAAACACTCAGAGTGTCTCTCAACGTATTACCTATTAATTTTAAAAGAGAAATTAAACTGATAACTTGACACTGCTCTCTATTAACCAAGTGGTCAAAGGTAACGTGACCCATCACAGGCCACGCTGACATCATGTGCTTTGTGGTGTGATGCACTGAGAAGGACACATCATCACTTATGTGATGTTGTCAACAACACACAATGTGACTCTAACCAATCAGGGGCCATAAAGAGAACAAGCCTCACCTGGCCAGTGCAGCTCAGTGGACTGAGCGTCATCCCAAGGACTGAGAGTCGTCCCAAGGACTGAGAGATCCTGGTTCAATTCCAGGGCGCATGCTGGGTTGTGGGCTCAGTCCCCAGTAGGGGGCGTGCAGGAGGCAGCCGATGGATGTTTCTCTCTCACATCAATGTTTCTCTCTCTCTCTCCCTTCCTCTTCCTCTAAAAAAATCAATTAAAAAAAGAGAAAACAAGCCTTAAGAAAACAGCCACAAACAAGATAGAGCCAAGGGAAGAAAAGCAATCAAACCCTTGGTGACACCATCGAGCCAATGGACCAAGTCTGGTCTCAAGTCAACTCTACGTGCTACTGGAAAGCACCTGGAACAGTGCTCCTTTCAGGACTAATAATCTCTCACGTCCCAATTTATTTTTTATTTTTATTTTTATTTTTTTATCCTCACCCGAGGACATTTTTCCATTTTTTGTTCAGGTAGAGTGGGAGGGAGAGAGAGGAACAGAGAGAGAGAGAGAAACATCGATGTGAAAGGAACACATCGAGTGGCTGCCACCCGCACGACTGACCAGAGCCGGGGACAAACTGCAACCGAGGTACATGCCCTTAGCGGGAACCGAACCCGGGTCTCTCAGGACCGCAGGCCAGCACTCTAACCGCTGAGCCAAACCGGCCAGGGCTCTCACGTCCCAATTTAAAAGTAACTTGCCCTGGCTGGTTTTGCTCAATAGTTAGAGCACTGGCCCGCGGACTGAAGAGTCACAAGTTTGATTCCTGATCAAGGGCACGTACCTTGGTTTCAGGTTCAATCCCAGGACCCAGTCGGGGTCCTTCGGGAAGCAACCAATCCAATCAATGGGCCTCTCTCACCTCAAAGTTTCCCTCTCTTCCTCCATCTCCCTCCCACTCTATCTAATTAAAAATCAATGAAAAAAATATCCTCAAGTAAGGATTAAAAACATAATAATAAGTACAATAAAAGTAACCTTCTCAGAATGAGAGAGCTTCAGCCTCTGGACTTGGCCAGGATCCCATTTGTATACTGAAAATAACTCATACTCCTTTATAGCTCATCTCACAGTTATATTTTAAATTATAAAATTATGTGTTTAGCCCTGGCCAGTTTGGTTCAGTGGTTAGAGCGTAGGCCTGTGGCCCAGAGTGTCCTGGGTTCTGTTCCCGCTAAGGGCACGTGCTTCGGTTGCAGTTTGTCCCCGGCCCCAGTTGGGGTTGTGTGGGTGGCAGCCAGTCGATGTGTCTCTCTCACATCAATATTTCTTTCTCTCTCTACCTCCCTCTTTCCCTCTCGCTCTATCTGAAGATAAATGTAAAAATGTTCTCAGGTGAGGATAAAAAAAAAAATGATGTGTTTATCACCTGTCTTCCCCATGAGACTGTAGGTCTCTAGAGGACTGGGTTTTCTCATCATTCCATTCCCACTGACTACACCACAGTGCCCAGAATGTAAATAAATACATCATGAACAACAACTGACAAGATAAAGAAATCATGAATGAAACTCATTGGGAAATGAGGTGTTCAACATAAATCCATAACTGAAGTTAGCCCTGCTAAGCACAAATTCTCTTTGGCTTTAGGATGTTGGATAAAAACTTCTGAGTCACACTTCCCTGACTTCTGAAACAGGCTGCTGAAGCGACGTCCTCTTTCCTCGACACTTCCAGGAGCTTGCTCACTACCAACACCGACTTTTCAGCAGTACCCTTGACTTAAGCCTTCTGGAGCCACAGAACTGCAAAGCCTGGCTGCCGTAAAGTGAAGGGGCCGAGCCTAAAGGGTTTTTAGACTTTTTAAAAATGTTTTTATGCCCTGGCCAGTTTGGCTCAGCTGTTAGTGTCGATCCACAGACCAAAGGGTCACAGGTTCAATTCCGGTCTAGGGCATATATCTGGGTTGCAGGTTTGGTTCCCGGCCCTGGTCGAGGTCATACGTGAGGCAACCAGTCGATGTGTCTCTGACACATCGATGTTTCTCTCTCCCTCCCTTGCTCCCTCCCTTCCACTCTATCTAAAAAAAAATCAATGGAAAAATACCTTTGGGTGAGGATTTAAAAAAATAAATAAAAGATAAACAAAAAACTAGTAAAAATGATTACCCACAACACCCAGTAGAATGGCTACTATTAAAAAAAAATAGGTCCGGCCAGTATAGCTCAGTGGTTGAGCATCAACCTGTGCACCAAGAGGTCACTGGTTTGATTCCCACTCAGGGCACATGCCCGGTTGTGGGCCTGGTCCCCAGTGGGGGGCATGCAGGAGGCAGCCAATCAATATTCTCTCTCATCAGTGTTTTTATATCTCTCTCCCTCTCCCTCTCTCTCAAATCAAATCAATATAAGAAAAAAAAATTTAAATAGTAACAAGTGTTGGCGAGGAGACACACAAATTGGAACCCTTGTGCATTATCAGGTGGGATGTAAAATGGTACAGCTGCTATGGGCAACAGTATGAAAGCTCCTCAAAAATGTTTAACTAGAAGGACCATATTGTCCAGCAATCCCACTCTGGGCATACGGCAAGAAGAACTGAGAGCAGGGCCTCAAAGATATATTTGCACCCATGTCCATAAAACTTTATTCTCAGTAGCAACCCTGTCCACAGACAAATACATGGTTACGCAAGATGTGGTATGTACACACAATGGAACATTATTCAGTCTTAAACAGGAAACTCCGACATATGCTACAAACTTGAGGACGTTACAACAAGCAGCCACAAAAGGACGGGTGCTGTATGATTCCACCTGGATGAGGCACCTTAGCAGTCACAGTCATACAGACAGAACGTCGAAGGATGGCGGCCAGGCCAGAGAACGAGGATGGGGGTTACTGCTTACTGGGTACAGAGTGTTACAAGACTGACAGAGTTCTGGACATGGATGGTGATGATGTTCCACACTAACACGAATGTGCCTAATACCACTGAACAGTACACTCAAGCATGATTCTGATGGTAAATTATATGTGCATTTAAACACAGTTTTTTTAAAAAACTGAAAAAGGATTACCCACAAGGAAAGAAGAGAAGAGAATGAAGATGAGAAGTCAGACCTCTCTAAATGAAAACTGTTTTACAGTTTAAATTTTGAACCATGTACATGTTGCATATACTATTAAAATGAAGTTAAATCAGCCCTGGCCGGTTTGGCTTAGTGGTTGGAGAGTCAGCCTATGGTCCAGAGAGACCCGGGTTCAGTTCCCGCTAAGGGCATGTAACTCAGTTGCAGTTTGTCCCTGGCCCTGGTTGGGGTCGTGTGGGTGGCAACCACTCGATGTGTCTCTCTCACATCGATGTTTCTCTCTACCTACCTCCCACTCTATCTGAACAAAAAATGAAAAAATGTCCTCAGGTGAGGATAAAAAAAAAAAAAAGAAGTTAAATGAAAAGAAAAAAAAAAGAAATATCAAAAGATCAAAAAGAAGCTGAGCCCAGTGATCCCACATCTACGAATATACCCTAAGAAGCCTGAAATACCCATCAGAAAGAATATATGCACCCCTATGTTCATAGCAGCACTATTTACAATAGCTAAGATCTGGAAACTGCCCGAGTGTCCATCAGTAGATGAGTGGATAAAAAAGTTGTGGTACATATGCACAATGGAGTACTATGCACCTGTAAGAAAGAAAGATCTCTTATCCTTTGAGACGACATGGAGGGACCTGGAGAGTAAGTGAAATAAGCCAGTCAAAGAAAGACAAGTATCACATGATGTCACTTATTTCAGTAATCTAATCAACAAAATAAACTGACAAACAAGTAGATCTAGAGACATGCAAGTAGGGATCAGACTGACAAACCTCAGAGGGAAAGGGGACAGGGGGAGTGGAAAGAGAAAAACCAAAGAACTTATATGCACATATGCACAACCAATGGACACAGTTTAGTGAAGGCAGGGGTAGGGGTGGGAGCAGGGAGGAGGGCACCAATGGGGAGAACACCTGTAATACTTTGAAAAATTAAATTAAATTAAAAAAAAAAAAAAAAAAAGCTGCCCTGGCCAGTTTGGCTCAGCGGTTAAAAGCGTCGACCTGCGGTCCGGAGAGACCCGGGTTCGGTTCCCGCTAAGGGCACGTACTTTGGTTGCAGTTTGTCCCCGGCCCTGGTTGGTCGTGCGGGTGGCAGCCACTCGATGTGTCCCTTCACGTCGATGTTTCTCTCTCTCTCTCCCTTCCACTCTATCGGTACAAAAAATGGAAAAATATCCTCGGGTGAGGATTAAAAAAAAAAAAAAAAAAAAAAGCTGAGGATAGGGGAATAATTTTTTTCAAGACGTTGAGAGAAAAATCTGTCAACCCAGAGTTCTATACTGAGCAAGACCATCTTTTAAAAGTAGAACACAGCCTGGCCAGTGTGGCTCAGTGGCTGAGCATTGACCCATGCACCGAGAGGTTGCTGGTTCAATTCCTGGTCAGGGCACAGGCCCAGGTTGTGGGCCCGATCCCCAGTGAGGGGCATGCAGGAGGCAGCCAATCAATGTTCTCTCTCATCGATGCTTCTTTGTCTCTCTCTCTCCCTTACTCTCTAAAATCAATGAAGAAAAATAATTTTTGAAGTAGGACACAAAATATCTTCAGGCAAACAAAAACAGAGTTTTTAATTTAAAGTCTCTCACTATAGGAAATTCTCAGGATATACCTTGCAGAAGGAAAATAATCCCCAATAACATATAAAATATCAAGAACGTAGGACTTTTTTGTCTTTAAGCCATGAAAGAACATGTAGTGTGGGAGCATGGAGTAGTTGGGATGAAAAAGGAAAGCAGAACACAGGTGGTGTACTCCTGCCCATACACGCAGGGAAGGAGGCCCCAGCCCTGGGCCCTACACTTTAGAAGATTCCACCTGTTAAAATATCAAAACCCAAAGGTTATCAGTAACTACCTGAGTGAACAATTAAAAGGGGTTCACAAACTGAGCTGGGACTCCCCCAGGCCAGACAATGAGGGAAGGAAAAGGAAGGAACCGCTGTGCTGGGAAACCAAAGTAAAAACATCTAATTTGTCTGAGAAGGCCCACCCCAAATCTCCCAAAGGAGGTGTCTAGGCAGACAAAGTTCCCCTAGGACTTCATTCCCTCCTCTTCCTGGGTTTGAGTGGCATTGTTCAAGAAGATACTTAGAACTGCCTAAAAACCCTGGGTTAGAAAAGCACAGTAGAGGAAAGAGGAACCTGTCCAGGCTCTCTGGAGAGTTTCACCACACTGATCCCCATCCCAGATCCAGAGACAGCCCTGGCCCAACCTCCACCTGCCAGCCCCAGGGACAGTCGGGCTCCTTTAAGAGCTGGCTGGGCACTGGGTAGAAAAGCAGGTCAAGCTGTTGGCCTGGATTGATTCGTAACTTCGGTAAATTAAGACATAAAAGAATCTGGCTTCCATTTGCATTTCTGTGCTGGGTCCCACCAAGGGTAGGAGAAAGCCAGGCTCTCAGGCTGAATTCTACACACACGGCTTATCGCTGTGCCTCACAACAAACGTGCTCCACAGAGTGTCTCATATGGGACAGATACTACATCAGAAAGACCACAAATCAAAATAGATGGAACAAAGGAAGGAAAGCGAGAAGCCAAAAATGTTAAGGCTAGTATTTAAGGTAGTTCGATCACTCACCATCATCCTTTAATTCCCTTCTATGCCAAGAAGCTCATTTATCACATAAGCCCATGGGGTGTGACTCCTGGAATAAAAAAATATATATATATATACATATAGACAATTAGTCATAACACTGGAAAGAAACCATATTTATTCATAAAAATACAAATTTCATCCCAAGTTTCTCATTAACAACAAATAAAACTACTCCTTTATACTGCCTGTTTCAATATAATATAGTATGTTTTAAATATTCCATGCTCTCCACGAAAAATTAAATGGATGCCCGGTCAGTGTGGCTCAGTGGATTGAGCGTTGTCCCGTGGACAGAGAGGTCCTGGTTCAATTCCCAGTCAGGACACATGCCTGGGTTGCAGGCTCAATCCCCAGTAGGGGGCGTGCAGGGGGCAGCTGGTCAATGTTTGTCTCTCACATAGATGTTACTATCTCTCCTTGTTCTCTAAAAATAAAATCAATAAAAACATATATTGTTTTAATTAAATGGAAGAGTACCTGAATAGTGCATGATATCCCAACCCAGAGGCTTCAACAAACTTTTTACTACCACTTATAAACACACACAAACACCTTCTATCCTCAGTTTACACGTTTAACTAAAACAAGTTTCATGAAGTAATGTGTATCTCTGTTGTGTGAGATGTACTCTGATATTTCCTTCATTATTCTTTTTTTTTTTATCCTCATCCGAGGACATTTTTGCATTTGTCTTCAGATAGAGTGGGAGGGAGAAAGGGAGGAAGAAAGAGAGAGAAACATCGACGTGAGAGAGACACATCAAGTGGCTGCCACCAGCATGACCCCAACCAAGGCCAGGGACAAACTGCAACTGAGGTACATGCCCTTAGCAGGAACCAAACCCGGGACTCTGTGGTCCGCGGTCCGATGTTCTAACCGCTGAGTCAAACCGGCCAGGGCTATTCTATTTTTCTTAAATACTACTTTCACTGAATTGATTTATGAATCCCAACCCAGTATATGAAACCCAGTATGTGTAAACTCTTCTTAGGAACTTCCACAAAGTGAGATTTTATCAGAATATCTTTTCATGGAAACTACTTAATGTAGCCAGACCTTTGCTCAGAGAAATCCAAAGCAGAAAAACCAGACAGAACACAAAGGAACAGGGAAATCACTAGAAAGAATGGCTTCTACCTGTAAGAAAAGCCGATGACCAAAGACAAGCAGGCAGTAATTGGAACCAAACCTTCTGAGTTGAGAGCCCGGATCATCTATCCTTTGTCAAGTGAATGTGCTCCTTTTAAATGCATTTTTACAACTAAAAACATAGGTGCAAATAAAAACTTCATATACAAGTGTTCGCAGAAGTATTACCGATAATAGCCAAAAAGTGGAAAGCACTCAAAGGTCCATCAACTGATGTGTAAAAAAATTAGGATACCCATCAGTGGAATATTACTCGGCCATCAAAAGGAAAAAAGTGTTTATACACGGTACAACATGGATGAACCTTGAAAACATAACGCTAAGTGAAAGAAGCCAGTCACAAAAGACCACATATTGTATAATTACACTTATATGTAAAGTCTAGAATAGACAGTCCATAGGGTCAGAAAACCGATCACTGGAAAACAAGAGTGATTGCCAATGAGAACAGGTTTTTTTTTTAATATATATTTTTATTGTTGACAGTATTACAAATGTCTCCCATTGGCTCCCCCTACGCCTTTTACGCCCCCTCCACCCAGCTCCTGCAAGTACAGGGTTTCTTCTGAGGATGGTGAAAATATTCTACAAATCATCACAGTGATGGTTGCACAACTCTGAATACATTGAAAAACCATTTTTTTAAGTGGGTGAATCCTACAACATGAATTATAGCTCAGTAGAGCCTATTTTTTTTTTTTAATCCTCACCTGAGGACAGTTTTCCATTGACATTTTTTTTAGAGTGGAAGGGAGGGATGGAGAGAGAAAAAAACATGATGTGTGAGAGACACGTTGATTGGTTGCGTCCTGCATGACCCCAATGGGGGCTAGGCATCAAACCAGCAACCAAGGTACGTGCCTTTGACCAGGAATCAAACCTGTGACTGACTGGTCTGTGGGCTGACACTGTAACCGCTGAGCCACACCGGCCAGAGCAAGCTGTAATATTTTTTAGAAGCAGTGCCTCTGTTCACAACCCTCCAAGGCCTCTCCATCTCAAAGTAAAAGACAAACTCTCACAGTAACCTACCACACCCTAAACTTTCCAGCTTCCCTGACCTCTCTGACACCTACTCCTCTCCTCCCTGATGTTTGTCCATTCCACTTCGGCCACACTGTTCCTCTTCATGGTCCCCAACATGCTACACATGCCTGCTGAGCCCATCTGGAACACTCGTCTTTGCTCACATCACTTTCCCAGTAAGGCCTTCCCAAGCACTCTGACAGACTGCAACCCGTTCACTGGGACTCCCGGCACGGGCACTCTCGTCCCACTACTCCTCTAGAGCGCTTGGCACTTGACATTATGTACTTAGCTGATAGACTGTCTCATCTCTCCCAACGAGAATGCAAGCTCTGTGGCGTTTGGTTTTGTTATTGCTACAGCCTCAGAACACAGAGCAAGCAGTACGTGGCATTAAGTAGGCAGTAACTGTTCAGTAATGAATGAAACACACTCGAAAGAATCTCTGCTCACCACATTCCTTTCCTTTCACATTCTTCATATTCAAAGCCTATCAAACCTTCAAGGCCAGTTCAGAAGTGACCTTCATAAAACCTACTCTGACGTCCCCAGCTGACAGCGATCTTCTTCATCTGAATTCCCAGACTTCATTCATATTCTTTACATCTAAAAAGTGGGGGAAGGCATGATCTAGTAGAAAGAGAACATGGAGGCACTGAAATCCACCAAATCACTATGGCTTTGATAGTCATTTAACCTCTTTGAGCATCGGTCTGCTCATCTATAAAAATGAAGACTGGGAATTTACCCAACAGAAATAAAAACATATTTTCCACACAAAGATCTATATACAAATGTTCAAAGCAGCTTTATTCATAATACTCCATAACTGAAATCAACCCAAATATCCATCAAAAGAAGAGATAATCAAAGTGTGGAATATCCACATACTAGAATAGAAAGGCACGAACTGATACACACAACCAAAGGGCTAAATATCAGACACTGTGTTCAGAAGAAGAAACTGGACACAAAAGCATATGTGCTATATGATTCCATTTATATGAAGTGTAGAACATGCAAAAGTAACCTGAGGTGAGAAACATGGGAGGGCTGCCTTGCTTGAAGGGGAGCACTAAGAAGGGGCACGAGATAGAAATGTCCTACACATTTCCATCACAACTACATATAATGTCGCTGATACTTACTGAACTGTCCGCTCAAAAAGCGGATGCACTTTTTTATATGTAAATTATACCTCGATTAAACTGAATTTTGAAAAGGGGCACATAGCTCAGGCGGGAAAACGAAGGCTATCCCTAACTTACAAAGTTGCTAGAAGGATTAATGAGACGCATATATACTGAACTCAGCATGTGAGGAAGAGTGCACACCGACACGGGGCGGGATCCCTACTTCGCCCAGTATTAGTTACACAGCCTTGCACAAAGTCCCTCAATCCCTCGGAACTGAGGCTTTCTCTTCTGTGAAGACAGTGACATCTATTTACATAAGTGGCAGCATATAAGAGATGGCTCAGTGAACACAGTATCTGACACCCAACACGCACCCAGGTAACTTTTATGTAACATATAAAGCCTGGCACACAGTAGATGCTCAGCAAGTGTTATCCTCTTTCCCCAATTCTCTTGCAGGAGTTTTCTCCTCCACTACGTTTAAGAGAAGTACAGGATCAGTACCTGCACCTTCTCTTTCACATTCTTAAGAGTGTCTGCCAACGGGGGGCACTCCACGGAGATTTGAAGGAAGGACGCCAGCTGAATGGCTTGTTGACGAAGAGGGGTCCGCAGACAGAGCCGTGTTCAGGGCGGTGAGAGCACTGTCACCGGGTACTAGTGAAGCCCTAGCACAGACGGTATTCAAGTCTGTGCTTGAGACACGATACCCTTTGGACCGCAGTCACCAAAGTTACTGGTAAATGCATCTGTGCGGTCACACTGATTGAGCTTCCGTGAAAACCCAGCAGGAGACCCCTAACCCAGGAGGAGGTGAACCAGACACTAAAGGAGGCAGCTGGAGGGGGCGGAGTGGACGGGAGGAGTAAGCAGGTGCTCAGGGCGCCCTCGGGCCAGGAGAGTCCCAAAAGCTTCACATCGGGTCCCTCTCCCCGCGCCGACCGACCGGTGGAGAACGTTTCCCTACTTGACAGGTGAGGAAACCACGCCCCAGAAGCAGGCACCACCTGCCCAAGGGCAGGGAACGGAGCTGGGGTTCAAACCAGACCAGTCTGCTTCCCAAACCACCCCATCCCACGTCGCCCCACGAGGCCGCTTCCAAATCATTAGCCACCGGCCCTGCGATTAGGGACTGCCCGGCCCTCCTGGTATTACGGTTCCGGCCAGGTCGACAGGGGTGGGCATCACGAGGCCCCCACGCGGGTTCAGCGGCAGTCAGTCCACAGGGAGAAGACGGAGGGCAGGGGCCGGGGCACGACTGCAACCTGGGGGCGACAACGGCCACCCGTCCCCGGTCCGGGGGTTCCCGCGGGGCCGAACCCCCTTCTGCTTCAGTTTCCCCGCCCGGCCCGCCCTCGGGGTGCCGGAGCCTGTCAGCGCGGCGAGCCGGGCGCGTACAGCAGACCCAGCGGCGCGGCCGTCCCTCAGGGACCCGGCACCGGCGGAGCCGTGGGCGCAGGTGCGGCTCCGGCCCGCCTCCCGCCCGCTCCCTCCCGCCCGGGGGCGAGCCTGGGGTCCGCTCGCGCCTCCGGGCTCCGTCCCCGCCGCGTCAGACCGAGCGCAGGGCGGCGAGGACCCCCGGGAGCCCCGGGCCGCCCGGCCCGCAGCGCCTGAGACGCCCGGGCCCGCCCCGGCGGCCGGCTCCCCTCCCCGCGCCGCGCTCCCCGCTCGCCGCCCGCACGCCCAGCCCGGCGAGGGGAAGGCGTACCCCACCGCCGCCACCGCCGCGCCCCGGGCCCGCCGCCCCGCCCGGTCCGCTCGCCGCGCAGCCCGCGGACACTCACCCCTGCGCGCGGGCGGCGCCGAGCGTCCCGCCGGGAATGGGGCGGGGCGGCGACGCACCACGTGACGCGCACTCGGGACGCGCGCAGGCGCAGCCGTCCCACTCCCGCCCGGGGCCGCGGGGGCTCGTCCCGGGCGCCTTCGCCCGAGTCCCCGCGGAGCCGCGTGGGTGGCCGAGAGGACGCGCGACAGCACACGGACCCGAGAGCTAACCGCGCTGAGGGCACTTCTGAGTCCCGGGCGGGGATGCCGTGCGGGCCGTAACCGCTCCGTCCGGCGGGACGCCCGGCTGGCCCCTCCCCGGCCACGCGCGGGGGTGGGATCCGGGGCTCCCGTGGGCGCTGTGGAGACGCCCACCGCAGGTTTTCCCCAGCTGACGCCAACAGGAGACCCCGTTTCGGTGAGGCGCCGTGGAGGCCGCCCAGCTGCAGCCTGCAGCCAATCTTCATGGGAGGTGCACGCGGGGCCGCGGGCGCCGAAGGTCTGGGCTCCTCCGGGTCGAGGGCAGGAACCTGGGCTGCGGGTCCATCCCGGCGGCCCGTCCACGTGTCTCTCTCTGCCTCCCCCGCCCCAAACATCAATGGAAAATGTCCTCCCGTGAGCATTAAACAAAAGGCCAGTCTGCGTTGGGTCAGGTCAAGTCCACTGCGGGTCCGGAGACCTCCGCGTGGTCGGTCGAGGCCACTTGGTCCGTGTGGCCCTGTAGCTCCCTGGCCTGGGCCGACACACTGCGAACACGCAGGGCTGAGCGGTGCCAACCGCCCTTGTCTATGCCCAGCGCTGGGAAGCTAACTTCCTCTATGCCGGGAAGGGAACGAGCACTGCCACCACGGTCCTTGCACCTGCATGAAATCACGGCCGAGTTTTCAATGCCAATTCTTAGCTCGTTAAGATTAAAATAACATCCTTATCTGATGACCTCACCATGCTGGCAAAGATTTTGGACAGTCCAGCAAAACAAATGGTGAGCATGCTGGTCAAACTCCTCACTTCACACACCCCAACTTTAGTGACGCTCAGTGACAGATGACGGATGGTAATGGTGCATCTTCCATTCTACTGCTATGGCCAGATGGGTGTGGTAAAGTCAAATGAACACCAGGGTCGGTTAGCTGTCATTAACTGTGCCGGTTAAGTCTGCGTTCACGCCTCACGTCGGCAGAGGCGAGCAGAGAAGTTGGAGGCGGCAGCCAATTCTACCAGAAAGGAGCGTCCACAGCTGAGCTCCCTTAATACTGTCCGTGCTTACGTAGGAGACTTTAATCAGGAAACATATTAACAGAAATGGTAAAACTATCTGTGGGTCTGAGCTATGCAAACATAAATTCCTCACCTTTTCACCTTTCTTATTTCCCACAAACGTAATAGGTTGAGCTACTGAATAGTCAAAACTGACCATTTCAGTGTGCGGATGTGCTTATCAAATGTGATTTTAATTTCAGTATAACTGACATTGAGCTCTACTGGTGTTTTTTTGTTTTTTTTAAATCCTCACCCAATGATCTTCTTCCATTGAATTTTAGAGTGAAAGGTGGAAGACAGGGAGGAAGGGAGAGAGAGAAACATCGATGTGAGACACATTGGTTGCCTCCACATGACCCCGACTAGGACTGGGTATCAAATCTGCAACCGAGGTACTTGCCCTTGACCGGAATCAAACCCTCAACCATTCGATCCTCAGGTCAACACTCTGACCGCTGAGCCAAACCGGCCAGGGCTCTACTGGTGATTTCAACCTGTGTAATTCCTACCATCACTTTCAGCCCCAAACAGCAAGACCACATTTGCTACCACAGCAACTGAAATGTATCAGGTATACATTCAACTATAGTAGGATTCTTTTATTTTAAAAAAAGGAAAATACAAATCTAGAACAAGAATAATTTAATAGAGTTTTGAAACACTCACTACCAAAATACAGGAAGGGATGAGGCAGGATAATGTATAATACAACAAAACCTATGCAAAATTCAAGGTTTACCAGTGAGATTAAAGAAAAACAAACAAACATTTAAAAAGATAGGACATTTCATTTTCGATCAGAGTTCTAGACAATGTCAAGTCCCACACACAGCACAGCTATAGTTACACATTAAATACAATTACTATCTATACGTATGCAAAAATATAGTTCTATTTCATACAATAAACCCATTATAGAAACCATTTTAAAAGTAAGCAGAACTTCTCAACTTATATGTGAGGTATAGTCCTTCTATAGGTTCCTTTAAAGGTTTTAAAACAAAACGCTACATCTAAAAACAATGTCCTCCCATTGGTTCCCAAATTAATGCTACTTAAACAAAGAAAAAGTGATAGCTCAGTCACATACTCCTTTAACGTTGTTCAGGCATCTCTAAAATGGTCCACCTGTTCAAGTGGAAACAGAACTCAAGATATTCCACAATGGATTACTAAACAGATGGCGTATTTCAGAAAGACTCCATTGTCTTATGGCACAGCATTGTTTTCTCCAATACATTTTGAAATAAATACCATGGTTTTGTTTTCCTCCTAGAAGGCCAAAATTACTGTCTACATTAAGATATATGACTGTGGTAAGACTTCAGAGTGGAAAATAACCTCATCAATATTTTGTCACAAAAGTGATGCTGGTAACACATTATAAAAGGAGCCAGTACTCTACTCAGATATACCCAGGGATTAAAGCTCATCATGATAGAAATATTCATCATGAAGCTGTCGGCCATAATCTGTGGCTTCACTGGTAAGAAACAAGTCTTGGTTCTCCAGAATCTCTGCTTCAGAGAGCTTTCTGTCACTATTCAAATCCATTTCATCGATGAGGTGAAGAGCCTTTAACACAAAACAAAAAGGGTCAAATGCACTAAATATTTTCAGCAAGATGTTCACGTTTGAATGCGATTTGATTTGTCAAAAACATATTTTTATTCATTCATAGTTTGCATCATATTTTCAAAGGAGTCTGTGACCAATAAAAGAATCACTGATCAAAATTATTACTCCATACTCATTATTGTATCTAAAAATATTACACATTATCTCCCTTCCTAATTTCTGCTAGGTTCTGCCTCCATTCAACACAAATCTGACTAAGAGTATCTCAAAGTTAAGCAAATGAGTAGCGCCCATTTTGAGTCCCTACAGGCAAATACGAATTTTATTATTCTATCCCCTGTGCTATCAAATTAATACATGATACAATCTTAACTTCCTTGTCCCCTTGACCATCTAAAACAGTTCGTAGATTTAAATCAGAAATAGCAATACATTGATCCTAAATAAATAGGACCAATAAATAAAATAATAAATACTATTTCTTTCTTTGGCTTAAAATGTTGAACTTCCTTTCCTATCAACAGCAACAAATAAGCAGGGGGAAAGAAGTCACTGTGTAGCACTCACCTCTTCTTGGGCAATGCCCTGATTGTTGGGCACTACCCAAGATAACAACTCTTGAGGATCGAGTCTGCCATCGGCATCTTTGTCATAATCATTCAGGAATCTATCTTTCTCAACAAGTATCCACTCTGGATCTTCATTTGCTGCTTAACATATAAACAACAAAAACAACAGTAATTATACATACACAAAAATATCACATGTATATAATAAGTCTGATACAGTGTATACCTTGAATAAAGGGAATGAGTTTAAAGCCTACTACATAACGGATTCCCAAACAGAAATACTTAACAGAAAAGTGCTAAAATAAGTACAAAAATAGTAATTTTCAAAAGTGACAAAGAGGTCTAAACAACTGAGTTTTTAAATCGTTGCATATTATCACAAACTAGTGATTTTGTTAACTGCTACTTGTTCTGATATCTGGTTTTTCCAAATTTGATCTCAAGTCATGTTTTTATGTATGTCACATGCCTATATAAAGCTTCCTATATGTTCTTACACAGCAATGCCACGTTTCATTTTAAAGTGACATTCACACCCAGCTTGTGTGGCTCACTGGTTGAGTGTCAACCCACGCACCAAGAGGTTGCAGGTTGTGGGCCCAGGTTGTGGGCCCCATCCCCAGTGTGGGGCGTGCAGGAGGTGGCCAATCGGTGTTCTCTCTCATAGATGTTTCCATCTCTCTCTCCCTTATTCTCTCTAAAAAAATCAAGAAAAAAAATTTTTTTAATAAATTGACTTTCACAATAAGGGATGCCTTTAAGAGACAATTCTGATAAAGTCAACTATTTATAAAAAGTGCTGCATATACAAAGGCTTCAAATTTCAAGCAATCATAAGTCAACTTCCCTGGTCTACACCAGTATTACAGTCGTCTCTTGCCACTTCACACTTCGACTTTCGCAGCTTCACTCTATTGCTTTTTTTCCAAATACTATACTATACAGTCGTCCCTCATTTATTGCACTTAATCCCTTCTAGACTCTAGCGGTTGCATCTGGCATTGAAGGATTCCTGGGGTGCTTGAATACATAGGCCTAAAGACCATTCATACAGTAATTTTAATTATAATACAGGGGTGTATAATTGACTCAGACAACCAAGCACACGCTGTATCATTTTCACTGTCTCGATCAACTTTTTAATGAATATATTTGAAAAAACCGCAATAGAGTGAAGCTGGGAAAATCAAAGCGAGAAGTGGCGAGGGACACTATATAAATAAAGAATGCTGCTTCGCCGTAATTTATCGCGGTAGAGTCTTGAACTGATTAACTGTGATAAACGAGGGCTGACTGTATTAGTATTTTATATTTCTTTCTCTTTTAAAATTTTTTTCTTCATTGATTTTTAGAGAAGGGGGAGAGAGAGAGAGAACATCGACTGGCCACCTCCTACCTGCCCCCCCAACTGGGGATCAGGCCCACAACCTGGGCATGCGTCCTGGCCAGGAATTGAACCAGCGACCTCTTGGTGCATGGGTCGACACTCAACCACTGAGCCACACTAGCCAGGCTATTTCTTTCTCTTTTAAGGTCTATATCCCAAGACACAGAATTTTGTTTTAAAATATCAACCTTTACTTGCTTCCTCATTGACTTGATAATCATATTATATTTGTCTGCAAAGAAAGACATATGTTAGAATGTAGACACGGGACTAAAGTGAGCAAGGCAGCCTTCCCAGGTGAGCAGTTAAGTCCCTCAGCGTTGCTTGTTCAACTCAGCAGAACAAGTAGAAATCAGGCAAGTTCTTGTTCCATTTTCTTTCTTCTGTAATTCCATGTGTCCCTCTCCTCACACACCTCCAGGCTGCTTACCTGGATCCCGCCTGTAGTCACCAAGAAATTCTTCCAAACTAACAAATCCATCACCATTTTTGTCATGTTCTTCTAAAGCCTCTTCAATGACAAATTCCTGTTGCATAAAATAAATTAGGAACAAAATGTTCAATCCTACCACCATTTGAATCACTCCTACTACAGAACTTCGTTAGGAATAATCATTTTAATTGTCTACGCTTGCAAAGACTGGAATGAAGCAGAAATAATCAATACCAAATATCACATCCAACATCCTTAAGCTTCTGCTAAGAACCCCACCCTCTCCAGCAACCTCAGCACTCACCCACATTCCTCTCCCCTCAAGGTCCCATTTCTCACTACCCTAGTCTTCTGTAACTCACTTTTCCTCCAGTCCCTTAACAACCCAGAACCTTTATCTCAGATCTCTTTGCATAGAACTATGTTCTACCTCCAGACCTAAAATGAGTCCAGACCCCATAAATCCTCAACCTCCTTGCTTCCTCTTCTGCCAAGTCTACCTGCTGGCTGCTTAAGAACTCCTGTCACCTTCCTATACCCGCCCGCCCTCTTCCTATCATGATGCCCCCACCCAGGACATGAGATGTCCACCTTCTCCTCCACCCCGAGTCATCGAGTCTAAAAAAGATAGACAGATAAGCCTGGTCCTTACACACTTGCCATCTCAGCAGGCTCTTGCTGCGGCTAGGAGCTTGCCTCTGCCTCAGTCCCTGACATGTATCTACAGCTATTCTTTGAAGCCTCCCCTTTCTTTGAACCTTTCCACAACTCATCCAACACTCTCGGCAAAGACCCTCTCCTGTTTCTGAACACAGTACACTTCTGAAACGCGCCCTTGTTTACTAGCACTGGATCCTCAACCTTGAATCACATCGACTTATATGCCTATCCACTCCTTCTCCTGACCTCAGGAGTTAAAGCTCGCTCATCTCTTCTCTGAGGCAGAGCCTTTGCTGTGCTCCTGGACCCCGCACTTTGCTGAGAGCCTTTTTCCACACTGCCCTCGGCCTCTCCTAAGGCTGCCCTCTGCTCCATCAGCTCTGTGCCTTTACACATTCATATCCTACGACTTTGCTGCACATCCAACCATCTTGGTTTCTAGGCCTCCTTGCCTAGCTTCGCACAGGTGACAGCTACTGTTATTTCCTCACTAATGCTGGTGCCTTTCGTTCTGGATTCTAGAATCACAACTGTAATGAAAATATATCCTCAAAAGTCTCTCAATTTAGTCAAATCCAGAGGCTCCATCTACATGTGTATGAAATACACTTACATGCAATTTGCTGGCTTTTTTAACTAGGTATTACAGATTTTATACACAGAAATCAGGAAATCTGAACCTGCAGATCCAAAGATTCGTTTTAGAGGGAGGCTCTGAGAATCTCTTGAAATTATAATCCGGTATTTGGTGTGTATGAGCATATGAGATTTTCCTACGACAAAGTCCATAGTTTGCATCCTATTTTTAAGGAGTCTGTGATCCAATCAGAGTTAAGAACCACTGATCCAAAAAAAAAAAAAAGAATCACTGATCAAAATGATTATTACTCCATGCAAGTAATCCTCTTAGGCAACAACATTATTTCAATAGTGTTGCCATGGCTAAGATAATTTATGGAACTGCATGAATTTCTTTAAATTCTTACTTTCAATGCAAAGTAGAACCACTTAGTTGATCTTGGATCCTTTCCTTTTCCTATATACGCCCTTACTGGGAAGAAGGGCAAACAGGAGATGCCGAAGGTGCTCTGAACGAGACGCCACTGTACAGTTGGCCACACTTCTAGGGCTGCCGTCAACTCCACCTCACCACCATCACCCCACTATCCTGGCAGCACACCAAACCTCCAGTCACCCCTACTCTTCTCTTCCAACACTTACTGCCTCACTCAACATTCCTGTTTATACTTTCTTCAAATGTTGATCAAATCGATTTCATTCCATCGCCACATCAACCCAGAACAAATACGTAACGCCTAAATCATGCCATCGCCGTCACTGGTCATCCCCTTCTCGAGGTCCAATCGCTCCTTACTTCCCAGAGAAACAGATCCAGCATCCTCTGTCTCCCGCGACAGGGTTTGAGTGCCTTGTCTCGACTGAGCTTTGGCTTCATCAAAGCGTGCCCACTACTGTTCCTAAACTAGGTCATGTACTTTGTGCCAAGTGAGAAGTCAAAGCCTCACAATGGTAAAAGAAGCCGCGCTATTGGTGTTGTCCTGCCACTGAGCAACAGAGAGATGCATGTGATCATGACCTATTCAACAACAGCTCCAACTCCCCTCCCTGAAACACCCAGAGCGCAATGCCACACAGCTGGGGCTGATGCCAGGCAACAGACCTCCCCAGAAATGTGCAGTCTGTTTTTTAAAGCTACTATGGTATATTAATCTCTGCTCTCCAATATAATAATCTTTGCTCTCAAGAAGCTTGCCACCTCCTAGCAGGACTCATCAATGTTTGCTGAGTTAAACCTCAACACAAAAGTTGCTGAAGACTTGGTGTCTCTTTTAAGCACGTACCACGGGGGGACAGGACTCTTGACGCCCCAAGTTGCAAAGACATTACTAGTCGTTAGCAGATGTGCTTGTACCACCCCATGAACAGAGATGCAAATGTGATACGTTTTCCAAGACTAAAAGTTTTCACAAGTGATGCTGTATACTAAATAGGAAGGTTGAATGTTTTTAATGTAGAAAAACCACAGAAAAGTCTGAAAGCCAGGGGAAGAGTGATGCTCAAATATATTACAGAGATTTTTTTTTTTTAATTCAGTCCTTTACCTTCTCCCTCCCAATAAACACCCCCCACTCCCAGAAATCCTCCTTCCCAGTCCAACTCTTAAACGGCGAAAACGTGGGATCTTCCTGTCTCTTAAAATTGTGATTGCTATATAATTCATATTAATGACTTAAAACTTTCTATCCTTACCGTCATATAATCAACTTCTTCAGGATGCTCAAAAGCAATAAATTCTTCAAGACTCAAACCATGCAATGAATCCTGGTTAGCTTTTTCAAATCGCTTCTTGTCCTTTAAGTGAAGCTTGGGAGATTAAATATTGAACATGTTTAAAGTCTCATCATAACATGGAACCATAAACAATACTTTGAAAAATACAAGCCACGTGAAATCTAGAGTAGAGTTTCATACCTTACTTTATCTTCATATCATCCCTTTGAAGGTCATCTGGGCAAACAACATTTATTAGAAGCAGCCCAGGGACAGATTCTACCATCACAGACTCAGATCTGAATTCCATCAATGCCACTTACTAGCTGTGTGACTTAAGGCAAATTGCTTAACTTCCCTGGTTTCCTCAACTATAAAATCGGGACAATCTAACAACAAAAGCAAAAGTAAACACGTGGGCCCTGGCTGGTGTGGCCCAGTTGGTTGGGTGTCATCCCAGGCACCAGAAGGCTGCCAGTTCACTTCCAGGTCAGGGCACAGGTGCCGGGTTGTGGGTGCAATCCCCAGTAGGTGGCATGCAGGAGGCAGCCGATGGATGTCTTGCTCTCACATTGATATTTCTCTCTCTCTCTCTCTCTCTCTAAAAAAAAAAAAAAATCCACAAGTGGGACTACATCAAACTAAAAATCTTCTGCACAGCAAAGGAGACCATCAACAAAATGAAAGACAACCTAATGAATGAGAGAAAATACTTGCAAATCACATATCTGATAAGGGGCTAAAAGAACTCATACAACTCAACAACAACAAAAAAACCTGTTTAAAAATGGGCAGAAGCCCTGCCCTGGCCATTTTGTTCAGTGGCTAGAGCATCGTCCGATGGACTGGAGAGTCCTGGGTTCGGTTCCCGCTAGGGGGTCACGTACCTCGGTTGCAGTTTGTCTCCGGCCCTGGTTGGGGTCGTGTGGGTGGCAACCACTTGATGTGTCTCTCTCACATGGATGTTTCCCTCTCTCTTCCTCCCTCTCTCCCCACCCCCCCACCCCCATCTGAAGATAAATGCAAAAATGTCCTCAGGTGAGGATTAAAAAGGAAAAAAATTGGCAGAAGCCCTGCCAGCTTGGCTCAGCGGTTAGAGCATTGGCCCGCAGACCAATGAGTGCAGGTTCGATTGCTGTCAAGGGCATGTACCTCAGCTGTGGTTCATCCCCGGCCCTGGTCGGGGGTCGTGCGGGAAGCAACTAGTTGATGTGTCCCTCTCACATCATGTTTCTCTCTCTCTCCCTCTCACTCCCTCCTACTCTATCTGAAGATAAACAGAAAAATATCCTTGTGTGAAGATTAAAAAAATAAAAATAAAAACGGGCAAAATATCTGAAAACACATTTTTCCAAAGAATACACAGAGATGGACAACACACACGTGAAAAGATGGTCAACATCACTAATCATCAGAGAAATGCAAATTAAAACAGCAATAAGATATCAACTCACACCTGCTACAATGGCTGCCAACAATAAATTAACCAGCATGTGCTGGCGGGGACAAGGCGGAAAGGCAGCCTCGCGTGCTGCTGGTGGGCTACACACTGTCGCAGCCAATACGGGAAAGAATACGGAGGTTCCTCAGATGTGCGCAACAGAACTGTGACATGATTCAGCTATTCTCCTGTGCATTTGTCCAAAGAAAACAAAAACACAACTCCAGCCCTGGCCGGTTTGGCTCAGCGGTTGGAGCGTCAACCTGCGGTACAGAGAGACCCATGTTCGGTTCCCGCTAAGGGCATGTACCTCGGTTGCAGTTTGTCCCTGGCCCTGGTTGGTTGTGTGGGTGGCAGCCACTCGATGTGTCCCTTCACATCAATGTTTCTCTCTCTGTCTCTTCCTCTCTCTCCCTCCCGCTCTATCTGAACAAAAAATGGAAAAATGTCCTCGGGTGAGGATTAAAAAAAAAAAAAAACACAACTCCAAAAGATATATGTACCTTATATCCACTGTAGCTTTATTTACAATGGTCAAGATATAGAAACAGCCCTGGCCGGTTTGGCTCAGCGGTTGGAGCATTGGCCAGCGGACTCGAGAGTCCTGGGTTCAGTTCCCGCTAGGGGCACGTACCAAAAAAAAAAAAAGATATAAAAACAATCTAAGTGCCCATCGGTGGCTGCCTGGGTAAAAACAATTGTGCTACGTATTTAAAATGGAATATTATGCAGCCAAAAAAAGAGAATGAAATCTTGCCATTGTGTTAACATGGACCTCAAGGGCATTATGCTAAGTGAAATACGTCAGACAAAGAAAGGCAAATACTGTATGATCTTTCTTTTTTTTTTTTTTAAACTTTTTATTTATTAATTTGTTTTTGTTACAGATGTTTCTCATTTTTCCCCCATTGACACCCTCCTCCCCTTACCCCCGCCCCATCCCCATTTTTGTTGTCTCTGTTCATTGGTCATGCATACATGCATGTAAGTTCTGTGGTTTATCTCTTCCCTCATGTATGATCTTTCTTACATGTAGAAACTCAAAACAAAAACACACACAACCAAAAACAAAAACCAAGCAGATATAGAGAACGGACTGTTGGCTGCCAGAGTTGGGGGGGTAACAGAAATGAGTGAACTATTTTTGTGTTTGTTTTTATAGTTTAAGTAAATTGAATAATTTATCATTCAAAAAATAAAAATTAATGAGCATAGTGTAAGGAGCCTCTGGGACAACTTCAAGCATGCCAACATTCGCATCATGGGTGTGCCAGAAGGAGAAGAAAAAGAGCAAGAAATTGAAAACCTAGTTGAAAAAAATAATGACAGAAAACTTCCCTAGCTTGGTGAAGGAAACGGACATACAAATCCAGGACCCAAACAAGATGAACCCAAAGAGGCCCACACCAAGACACATCACCATCAAAATGCCAAAGGTTAAAGACAAAGAGAGAATCTTAAGAGCAGCAAGAGAAAAGCAGTTCATTACCTACAAAGGAGCTCCCATAAGACTGTCAGCTGATTTCTGAAAAGAAACTTTGCAGGCCAGAAAGGACTGGCAAGAGATATTCAAAGTGATGAAAAGCAATAACCTACAACCAAGATTATCCTGCAAAGCTAGCATTTAGTATCAATGGACATATCAAGAGTTTCCCGGACAAGAAAAAGCTAAAGGAGTTCATCACCACTAAACCAGTATTATATGAAACGTTGAAGGGTCTTCTTGAAGGAGAACAACAAAAATATGAACAATAATACGGCAATTAATACATATCTATCAACAATTGTATCTACAAACAAAATGAGCAAGCAGAACAGAAACAGACTCATCGATACAGAGAACTTGTTGTTGCTTGCCAGATGGGAGGGCGTTGGGGGAATGGGTGAAAAAGATGAAGGAATTAAGAAATACAAATTGGTTGTTAGACTGATGAACCTCAAAGGGAAGGGGGGGGGAGGGTGGGAAGAGACAAGACAAAAAACTGCTATGCATATATGTATAACAAATGAACACAGACAACAGTGTAGGGAAGTCAGGAGGGTGGTGGGATTGGGGAGGAGGGGGTCAATGGGGGAAAATGGGGGGATATCTGTAATACATTCAACAATAAAGATAAGTTAAAATAAAAATAATAATAAAATCTCTATTAAGCGACTGGGATGCATTATTAAACCTTAAGTAGTAAGTATTTAATAAATGTTACAAATTACTATTAACAGAAAAACTGACATTAAATGATTTGTGTTTATTCTTGCTATGCCATTTTAAAATTGTTTCTGGTCTTCAAAATGACTTTCCAAAAACAAACTAGCAGGTTTCAGAAATAGTCCTCTCATGAGAATATTTTTGATATATGTACATAATATCTGGAAGTTCATTCTTAAGACTCTTTATAGCACTAATTCTGTATGTTCAGATATAAACACATCAAAAGCCAAAATTTGAGGTTAAACACACTTGTGTCACTTTCTCACACCTATCTCCCTTCTGTTAGAAAGTACACACTCAAGTAGTAAATCAAGTAGCAAGCAGCTGTTAGAGACAAGGGTGCTTTTAATTAATTTCTCAAAGCTAATTCTGTAATCAAGAACCTTGGAAGTCAACAGTGTTACACAGCTAGTCCTGTATAAAGTCTACTTTGAGAATTTCTGGGAATAACTCTTCTTTCTATAAACTGATGTGTGTTAAACTGCATATTTTTAAAAAGCTAATTTTCAAATATTTTAGCAGCTTTTTAATTCATGTGTTTCACTGATAAACTTAGAATAAGGTTAGGTAGCACTCACTGAAACATTTCTTTTACAATGACTGATTTACAGAGAAGCTCCATTCCTTCCCCCCAAAATTCATCTTTTGCACATTCAGATTCCAATGCCTTGTTATACTCACCCAATTCTGACAGAAAAGAAAAAAACAAAAAACTTGTTTCCAAATTTTTATCTTCATGTTTCATGATTTTAAATAACTAGACCTAGTAATTTACCCTTTTATGTTCAGGGTTAACATAGGCAAAAATAGACAGGCAAGAACTTGATGTGCTTTGCTGAGTCAATCAAGTTCTTCCTGAGTAAACCACTATTCAAAATACTGAGTGCTTAGATTTCCTTATGAAAGAACCCTTGATTTGGAGCAAAAAGGTCCATGTTTCAGCAGAGAGAGCTGAATTTGGCCAAATATGCCTATAAAGAAAGGATCCCTTTCAACAAACTGAGATTTCTTTAAAAAAGGAAAAAGTCACTTTCTGCTTCACATTTCTCAGATTTAATAATGTGATTTTTGAAAGCAGTTCTATTCATGGTCATTTGAAGAACAATTTAAGTGCAACTCGTATTCAAGAAGCCGATACATAGAAAGACTGCTTTTCCAAAGTGGCACATTTCTGAAAAGATAATACAAAAGACTGTTTCCTAAAACCTCTACACTCTTTCCTTCTGTATAAAAACTTTGTATTCTAGTGGGTGACAGAAAACGCTACATACAGTAGTAAACAGAAACTACCAAGTCATTTATCTTTATATCACGCAGAAACTTGTCAGCAATGAAATTGCCATGTTTGGGTAGGCTGGTGATTTTACACGAAGAAATATATAATTTGTGTGATACCAGAACAAAAGTCTAGGTTTTAAAAATTCTGGTTAAAAAAAATTAAAAATTGCCCTGGCCGGTTTGGCTCAGCGGTTGGAGCATCAGCCTGTGGTACAGAGAGGGTTCGGTTCCTGCTAAGGGCACTTACCTCGGTTGCAGTTTGTCCCCGGCCCTGGTTGGTCGTGCGGGTGGCAGCCACTCGATGTGTCCCTTCACATCGATGTTTCTCTCTCTCTCTCTTCCTCTCTCTCCCTCCCACTCTATCTGAACAAAAAATGAAAAAATGTCCTTGGGTGAGGGGAAAAAAAAAAATTAAAAATTAATAAATAAATAGAGCATGCATTTAAACTAATTAAACCATGAGACACAACAGAACTACAGTGATACAGAAATCTTCAAAAATGAGTCAATACAGCCAGGGAGTATTCAGTTCCTCAAAAAATTAAAACAGTGCTACCCTATGATCCAACAATTCCAATTTCACTTCTGGGTACACAGCCGAAAGAATTGAAAATAGGGTCTCCAACAGATACTTGCACACCCAGTTCATAGCAGCATTATTCATAATAGCCAAAAAGTTAAAGCGACCCAAGTGTCCATTTATAGATGAAGGGATAAATAAAATGTGGTATATACCTACACTGGAGTATTGTCCAGTCTTTAAAAGGAAATTCTGACACACGTCACAGCATGAGTGAACCCCGAAAACATTATGCTAAGTGAAATAAACTGGTCAGAAAAACAGAACGGATGATGCTGTTGTGACCCCACTTCCATGGGGCACCTAGAGCAGAAACCAGAGACAGCAAGCACAGTGGTGGTGGCTGGGGCAGGAAAGGGAACAAAGAGGTTAGAACCTCTGTTTCAGCTCTTCCAGGTGAAACACTCTGGATGCTGACTGCGTGACAACGTAAAGGTACGACCACTACTGAGCTGCACACTTAAAAATGGCTAAAAGGCCCTGGCCGGTTTGGCTCAGTGGTTAGAGCACTGGCCTACGAACCAGAGACCCGGGTCCGGTTCCCACTAAGGGCGCGTGCCTCGGTTGCAGTTTGTCCCCGGCCCTGGTTGGTCATGCAGGTGGCAGCCACTCGATGTGTCCCTTTCACATCGATCTCTCTCTCTCTCTCTCTCTCTCTCTCTCTCTCTCTCTCTTCCTCCCACTCCGTCTGAACAAAAAATGGAAAAATGTCGAGTGAGGATAAAAAAAAAAAAAAAAATGGCTAAAAGAGTAAATTTTAGGTTATGTGTATTTTACCACAGTTGAAAAACATTTTTTAAAGAGTTAATTTATATAAAACAATGTGTTTAAAAATGGGACTGGGCCTCTTATAGTCTTCTTAGTAAATATGACATAAAACTGATTGTTCATTAACACAAAAAAATAAAATACCAATACATATTCAAACTACACTAAAAAAAGCAACTCTGGAAATGAGGACAAATGACACAGGTGAGGAAAGAGATGCGGTAGGAACTTTGGGGTCCAAAATAAGATAACGAGTCTGGTCAAAGGGCTATGCAGCGCACTCACCTGCCTGAAAGACTCCTCTTCTGCGTCATCCAGAGGGGTGTTCTCATCAAAGTCAATCACACGATCATACATCTGAATGTTGTATTCATCCCATGACACGCTCCCATCACTGTTTTTATCATATTCAATAAACTGTTGTTTCGCTTCTTGCATAGCATAATGTTTAAAAGACATCTGAATCCATGAACTGAGTTCACCTACGAGAATTTCCCAGAACACAATAGACGTTAACAGTAATTCTCATACTTAGGATTTCTAAATCACCTCTAAAACAAAACAAAATAAACCTCCAGCCCTGCCACTGTGGCTGTGGATTGAGGGTCATCCCACTAACTGAGAAGTCCCAGTTCGATTTCTCATCGGGGCACATGCCCAGGTTTCAGGCTCGATACCCAGTAGGGGGCATGTAGGAGGCCGCTAATCGATGTTTCTATCTCTCTCTCCCTTCCTCTCTCTCTTAAAAGAAAAAGAAAACATTTCTTTTCTTTTAATGATCTGTGCATTTAATTTCTGACTACAGAATCTACCTAACAGCACTCGGATTTTTTTGGTTTAAGTAACAGATATTAAAAACAGAATTAAGATCAGATTTGGAGATTTGGATTCCAGTGCGGGCTTTGCCACTTATTGGAGAAAGGCATTTACCCCTCTGGGCTTCAGTTTCTTCTACAAAGGAAGGTGGACAACATGTTTCCAGGGCCCCTACTAGCTGTAATAATTTGTGATCAACATAATTCGCATGCAACAGGTTTTTTTCTACTTGTTTGTAAAAGAGGCAAATTCTGCCCTGGCCGGTTTGGCTCAGTGGTTAGAGCGTCGGCCTGCGGTCCAGGGAGACCCGGGTTCGGTTCCCGCTAAGGACCTGTACCTCGGTTGCAGTTTGTCTCTGGCCCTGGTTGGTCGTGCAGGTGGCAGCCACTCGATGTGTCCCTTTTACATCGATGTTTTTTTCTCTCTCTCTGTTCCTCTCTCTCCCTCCTACTCTATCTGAACAAAAAATGCAAACATGTCCTCAGGTAAGGATAAAAAAATTTTTAAAAAAGAGGCAAATTCTTATCATTCTAAAATATATATATACATATATATATTTATATTACAAGAGCAGTAAGTCACTTAATGCCTTAAGTTGGATTTTGGCATATTTCTCTACAATGAATCATATTGCTGACACTGATAAAAGTCATACTGAAAAGGGCAGGAGGAAATACTGGAATAAGAAAACCAATCATAGTAAGACACTAGCCATAGTTATAAAAAGTGTTAATCACGATTGCTTTGTTCTGACTGAAGAAGAGCCCTTTCTGAACTGGCTGGGAGGTGTACACCTTGGGAGCTTACCTCAGGAACGCTGTCCATTCTCCTAATCTGATGACATCATGGAAAGATTAACAACCTGATTATCGGAACATTGGACCCTGGACCCATGACTATGACTCACTGGAGACCAGCCCCCAGGCCCCCAGGCCCCATTCCTCCCCTTTGCCAGAAACCTTTTACAATCCCACCCCCCAAACCCCACATTCCTCCACGCATGCTGTAACCATTTTATCCATTTTCTTTCCTTTTTGCCTAACTGCCTTTTCTCAAGTGGTCATTGTCTTTCTACCCTTTAAAAGCTGCTGGCAAGTGGGGGGGGGGGGGGCAGATTTTCCAGAACAACCCACTGCTCTCACATACTACCAGCAATAATGGAATAAATGCTCATAAAAGATTCAAACTTGTCTCTGTTTAATTGGTTCAAGTAGTGACAGGCAGCCTGGACCCATTCCTTGTCTGGTTTCAATATGAGGAATAGGGTGTTTGCTCAAGGTGTGATTTGCGCATCATGTAGGGTCAATGGTGTTTATGTATTATTACAAAAAGCACCCAGTTTTACTGGGTATCCTATGTCTAAAGACTTCCAGGTTTACCAGAGGGAAGGGTGTAGGGGACAATAAAGGGTAAAGGGGGTCAAATATAGCCCTGGTCGGTTTGGCTCAGCAGTTTGAGCGTTGGCCCTTGGATCAGAGTCCCGGGTTCAGTTCCCGCTCAGGGCACTTACCTTGGTTGCAGTTTGTCCCCAACCCGGTGGGGTCTTATGGGTGGTAACCAGTCGATGTGTCTCTCTCACACCGATGTTTCTCTCTCTCTTCCTCCCGCTCTATGTGAAAATAAATGCAAAAATGTCCTACGGGGAGAATTTTAAAAAAGGGGGGGTCAAATATAGGGTGATGGAAGATTCTACTTCGGGTGGTGGGCACAACGATGTGTCAGAGAACTGCACACTTGATACCTCTGTGATCTCATAAACCAACGTAAAAGTTACCCCAACAAATTCAATTTAAAAAATAACGATTTCCAGGTGTGAAACCTCCCATGGCCCCTCACGCTCTCCCAGTACCCCCATGTGCAGAGCATGAGCACAGGCCCGGACACCCCACCCCTTCTTCAGGGCTTGTTTACGTGTCCATTGTTAGGCGTGCAGGGCGTCCTTACTTTCGGTGAGAAAACCATCTGAGTCCGAGTCGATTTTCTTGATGATTGACTTCAGCCTTTTGTGCTGCTCTTCGGGGGTGAGTTTAACGTATTCGTCCACTTCTTCCTTTGGAGGGGGAGCGACACACAGGGGTCAAGCGTTACTACCAGTGGAGCAAGATGGTGGAGACCAACATAGCCAGCAGCAGCCTCCCAGCGAGGGCGGCGGCCAGGCCGGCGATCCGGACCCCGTCCCCGCACGGCCTCGGGAGGATGGAAGGGCCCGGGCCCCTCGACAGCGCGTCCCGCCCGGCGCCCAGTCAGGCCGCCCGCCCCCGGCCAGGCCCTCACCTGGCCGCCCAGCAGCGCCTCCCGGTCGTAGTCGGCGCGATGCTCGCCCTGCGCGTCCCCCGCGCCGGCCCCCGGGGCGCTCAGCAGCAGCAGCAGCAGCGGCGCCAGCGCCGCGGGGCTCGGGCCCAGCCGCATCCCGCCGGCCGCCGCGGTCAGGAGAGGGGCGGGGCGGGGCGGGCGCTCTGCGGCGCGGCGTACGTGGGGGCACGCAGCGCGGAGGGGCGGTGGCGCCGTCCGTCGAGTCCGGCGAGCTCAGGCCCGAGCCACGACTGCGCAGTGCGGAGCGCCCGGCCATACTTATAAAACCCCGGCGGGGGGCGGGGCGCCAGCCCGCACCGCTGATTGGTCCGCCGGACCAAGGGGCGGGGCCTCGGGAGGGGGGACGGGTCTAAGGTCCACAGGGTCCTGCGGATCCACTCCACGTGTCTGTCCCGGTCCCCTCAGTGAGAAGGACAGGACGTTTGGGTGAACTAAGGACGGCAGCTAGGAAAATCTGCCCTGGAGAGCCGACCGACAGTCTCCGTGTCCCGGTCTTCGAGGCAGAACCGGAGCAGGACGAACTAACACGGGTACTCTAGCGAAATGCTCGCACCCGGTGCCCAGCTCCGTGACTGACAGCTCTTTGAGGTTGGCCAGGCCCTTGGCCCTTGGCCCTTGGCGACCTGTTTGCTCACTTCTAAAATGGACGTAGGAATAAGACTACCTTAAAGAGCTGTTCTGAAGATTACATTAAATAAGGTAATGCGTTTAGAGAAGTAGCTGGCGCATTTGGTAAAATATTCGACAAATGTCAGCTTCACCTCCGTGCGGATAAAAAGCCAATGATCGCACGGAAGGAGAGCCAGCTTGGCGAGTACCTCGGAAAACCCTTACCAGCACAACGTAAGTGTTGCCTGATCTTCAACTTCATACAGATGGCATCACAGAGCACGTACAGCGACTGGTCATGTGCCCTCCTGCGCTGCTGGGAAGTGGAATGGTGCTATGAAAGAACTTAACACGTGGCAAGTTTGGATTTTCAAATTTCAGTAGCTCACCTGCTATGTAACTTGGAATAAGTGACATAAATTCTTTTTTAACTCTAAAAAGAAAACATGGAATAATGCAAACCCGTATGTCTCAGCAGGTTTGGCTCAAAGGTTAGAGCGTTGGCCTGTGGGTCAAGGGTTCGATTCCTGGTCAAGGGCACACGCCTGGGTTGCAGGTTGGATTTCCCCAGTGGTGCAGGAGGCAACCAATCAATGTGTCTCTCATATCGATGTCTCTCTCTTTCTTGTTCCTTCCCTGTCTAAAAAGCAATGGAAAAATATCCTCGGGTGAGGATTAAAACAACACATTTTTTAAAAGAGAATGAGCCATGGCTGGTGTTGCTCAGTGGTTAGCGTGTCAGACCAAAGGGTCACAAGTTCCATTCCTGGTCAAGGGTATGTACCTGGGTAACAAGTGCTCTAGCGGACGGGAACACAGGGTGGGTTGGAGAGCCTCCCGGATGAGATTACAGTGGGGCAGACGTAGCGTGTGTAGGGCTTTGCCAGGCTGAGGAGGAAGCACTGATGGAGGGATGGGGCGGGGGAGACAACAGAAGCTGGGGGACTGCACATTCAATATTAACCAGAGCCCAACGACCAGAGGAAAGCTGGCTGGCAGTGGGCAGGGGCCAGGTCACCAAGGGTCTTCAGTCATCCTAACGAGTAGACCTTATTCTGAGGACGGTGGGGTTGAAACAAGGCTTTGACTCAGCCACACCCGCATCTGAGAAAGGGCCTTCCAGGAACAGGTGTGTCTTCACGGGAAGGGACAAACATGATGGAGGCTGGTTAGGATGTTCTGTAACCAGGGAGACATGCTCGGAACCCGAATGAAGGTCGAGACCGTGAGGATGGAGAGAAGAATGAGAGGCATTAAGGAAGCAGAGCCACAGGGATTAGTGACCAGGGAATGAGGAAACTGCAGTTCAGTAACAAGGGACCAACTCACTGAGGTAAGAACCCATGTTTGGTGGAGAGGATGAGACTTGCCCAGGACAGGCTGAGTGTCAGATATAGACAGAACACTCAGGGGAGGCAGTCTAGTGGGTCTGGAGCTTTGGAGGGTATTTCAGCTGGAGGGTGGGGTTGAAAGTTTGGGAAGCATTAGTTTACAGCTCTGAAGAAAGAATCTGAAATCACCCAAGGGAAGGGACAGTATGGCCTAGGAAACAATGGGGCTGTGCCCTAGGGACACCCCTACGTGGTCCGTGAGCTGGCAGAACTGGACCCTCTGTACAAAGCAAAGAAGGAATACAACCAGGCAGGTGGGGGCACCTGAACACTATCCAAAGGGCAGCAGGCCCAGAGCCTCAGGGACTCTTCCTGAACATGAGCTGCTGGTGGTGGAAGGATTGTACTGGTGGGTTCCTTCTCCCCTTTCTGCTCCACAATCCCCGGTCTCCCACTGTGGTGCTTTCCCAGGGGTAAGGGACCTCTGGGGGCCAGCCAACAGCCCAACTCACAAGATTCATACGGAACATTTAAAATATAAAAAGACAAATTATGCTGCCCAGCCAGTGTGGTTCAGTGGTTGAGCGTTGACCCATGCACCAAGAGGTTGCTGGTTCAATTCCTCGTCAGGGCACGTGCCTGGGTTGTGGGTCAAATCCCCAGTGGTGTGCATGCAGGAGGCAGCCAATCAATGTTCTCTCTATTCAGTGTTTCTATTTCTCTCTAAAATCAATAAAGAAAAAATATTAAGACAAATTATGGTGATTCCTAGCAAAAAGAAATAGTCATCCACAGACATATAAACAGATGAAATAATTCTTAGCCCTAACAAATTAAGAAATGCCTTTCCAATAAAAATATGCAATTTTTTTCTTTTTACGTTTTTATTTTTATTAATTTTGAGAGAGAGAGAGAGAGAGAAAGGGAAACATTTATTTGTTGTTCCACTGATTTATACATTCATTGGTTGATTCTTGTATGTGCCCTGGCTGGCAATCGAACTTGCAACCTTGGCATATCAGGACTCTCTAACCAACTGAGTTACCCAGCTAGGGCAAGTGAGCACTTTTTTCCAAAGACTTATGTTTGTTATTTTTAATAGTAATAGCTGTAAAGACAACTACATTCTAAAGAAATTTTCAACACAAGTTTTTTGTGTTACAGGTAATTTAAAAGTTAAACATTTCACTCAAAAAAGATAAATTAAAAATAAAAATAAAATGGTTACAAAATAAAGTTTATTAAAAAAACAAAAAGTTAGGCATTTCTTTCTTTATTTTTTGTTCAGATAGAGTGGGAGGGGAAGAGAGAGAGAGAGAGAGAAACATCCACGTGAAAGGGACACATCACCCGCAGGGCCCAACCAGGGCCGGGACAAACTGCAACCAAAGTACGTGTCCTTAGCAGGAACCAAACTCTGGTCTCTCTGGACTGCAGGCCGAAGCTCCAACCGCTGAGCCAAACAGGTCAGAGCCCAAAGTTAAGCATTTCAATGCTTTACCTGCTGAGCTCTGATTCTGAGGGCGTCAGACCAAACCAGAGGGCAGAAGCCAGGCCCAGGGACTGTGATGACGCTGGCGACCCGGGCCGACTGCACACCCAGGCGGGAGGGTGAGTCCAGCAGAAGCCACCTGGCAGGCGGAGCATAAAAAACGACTCTTTCTGCGCCTTGGAGGAGAAACATGGTCTTGGACACTGAATCTGACCCTGGGCCTCCCCAGTGCAGACCAGCAGGGGGCGCTGTAGGCAGCCAGGCTCCCCGATGATCCCCACTTCACAGACGGGAGGCTGAGGCCCAGGAAGGCAGCCAGTCAGCATCCAGCTCAGCCAGGAACGCCTGTGTCCTGCCTCCTAGCTCCAAGGGCGCAGCCTCAGGCTGGGTGTAGGTTAAGATGTCACATTGGCATGATATCACATGCACAAAACTTTCTATAGCGGTGCCCACATCATGCCAACTGCTAAACCGTCATTTCAGGATACGTCACAATGGCCGAGACGTCAAATGGGTTTAAACGTCATTTCCGGCCCAGGATAGAGCAGTGGGTTATAACATGGTAGGGATACTCCAAAGTTACACACTCCACCCCAGGTCAGGGCACATACAAGGATCAACCAATGAATGCATAAATTAATGGGAAAAACAAATTGATGTTTTTCTCTCTTCTATCTCTAAAAAATAAGTAAAAACCTCATTTCTGATTCACAACACCTCAAAACGGCTGGGAGGTCAACTGAATTTAAATGTAATTTCCAGCTTGATGAAGGTCCAAATGAATGTAAGGTCACGTGAAATTTGACATCATTTCCATTGTGTTCCAGTCAACCAGAGCACTTGTAACACGGGATTGGGAGCGTCGTGGATGGGGCTGTCTCCTTCACTAGACTGTGAGCGGGTACCTTCCCTCCCAAATCTCCAGGGCCCAGTAAAAGGGTGTTGCACACAAGGAATTCCTCAGAACAGGAAGGATTTTACTGCAAACACAACAGATGCAGCCTCTCTGATTTGCAGATGTTTCCCCAACAGGAGTTACAGGGGCCCCTGGCTTTCTCAATCAAGGCCAAACTTGGTGGTGATGCCTGTAGCCATTTCCACCCAGGCATGAAGTCTTGGGAGAAAGGGGCTCCTGATTGGCAAGGGCGGGGGACCTGGTGCTGCATTTCCGCTTGTGAACACGAGGTGACGCCCTGTGAAAACCTAGTAAGTGGGCACTGGGTGCTCAGCGTGCACACGCAGCCCCGCAACAGGAGCCTGAATAATCTAGTCAAGTAATTGCTACCAGATTTGTTTGTGATGGTGAACAGAGCTCACGGATGCTTGCATTTATTCATTCATGTCCATATGTAAATTTAAGGAACATTTATAAATTGCATTTTATGTATATTTTGGGATCAAACAGTGCTTTTATTTCGGGCTCTGCTACTTATAGCGGTGGGACATCAGATTCTGGATGTCAGATTCCTCCTGTGTGGAACAGAGTTCATCCTTTTGGGAGTTTAAATGAGATGAGGTTTTCCAGAGTTGCCAGCATCCTAGATGTCCAATAGATATTCACTTTTCCCTCTAAAATCTTTGTCTCAGCTTCTGTGTGTCCCTTGACATCCCTTGCTCTCTATTCTGTTTCACAACAGCTTCTGATCTGTCTAGTTGCTCCTGACTCCATGCTGGGGACTTTTCCGGTTTTCTGTATTCAGCACCCAGCCTAGACCTGGGTACACATGGTGGCACTTGGTCAACTCAACTAAAGAATGATGCCTGAGGACACCTCCACCCCAGACAGAAACCCAAGTTATTCAGGTCGAATTTCCTAGCTGTTTTAGCACAAAATACACTTAGAAAAATCTGGTAAAACCTGAACTGGTCCTTTTGCCATCAGGGACCCCAGAGGCTGGTCTGTCTGCAGACCATCTGGAGGGAGTGGAAGGAGCCGGCCTGGCCGCAGTCCTGCTGTTAGAAAAGTGGCCTTCTGGGCTGTGATGAGGAGGAGGGTGATCCTTCAGGTCCACACAGGATCACCTGTGTCACAGGCAGGTGGGACCTGCCAGCCCGGTTGGCAGGCAGGGAGGATGCAGAGACAGAAAGGGCGGGTGGGCCCCACTAGCGTGGCTCAGTCGCTGGGCATCGACCTATGCACCAAGCAGTGGCCACTTCTGTTCCTGGTCAGGGCATATGCCCAGGTTGTGGGCCAAATCCCCCACAGGGGGCATGCAGGAGGGGACCAAACAATGTTCTCTCTCATTGATGTTTCTCTCTCTCCCTCCCTTCTTCTAAAAATTAGTAAAGAAAAAAAATTTTTTTAAAGAAAGGACTTGTGCGCTGGGATCACCCTGCCTCTGTTCTGTTTGCATCCCTGTCACCCTGCCAGCCCCTCTCTTCCTAGGGGAGGGGCAGACATCTCCCCTGAGCGGCTCTCCCTAGGCCTGGGGAGTGCACACTCCTTCAGGCTTCCCAGGCCTTCCAGGCAGGAAAAGGGGAGTGACCCCAAGTCCCCTCTGGTTGAGGGGAGACCTGAGCCGGACCAGGCAGTACGACCAAGCTCATCAGTGGGGAACACCGTCGTTGAGGTCTTCACATGAGGTCTTCATCCTGCCCAGAGCGCCCCAGACACAATCCCCATAGTGACGCAGGCAGGGTCACCTCTGACCTTCCGCCCCGCCCCCCTGGACCAGGTTCCCGGGGAGACTGAGCTCCAGAGGGAGGGGCTCTGCGCCCACTGGGTCTCTCTAAAGCCGCTGCAACCAAGGTCAAGAAGGCAGTTCGGTCGCGTACAAATAAACGTCATTTCCGGCGCGATGAAGGTCAAATCAGAGGTAAGGTCGCACCCGGTGAGCGGTCATTTCCGTTGCACTGAAGGGCCAGATGACTGCAGGCGCAAACGAATGTCATTTTTGTGGCAACGAAAGTCAGCGTGGCTTTCACGTCCACTGCGCTCACGTCATGTCCGCCCCAAGGAGCGGCCCAGTGGGGCGGCACTTCCGCCCACCAAACCTCAGCGGGACGTCACACTGCCTGCGACGTCACAGCTGGCGCCACGTGACGTCAGGCTGGCTGAGGTGGCGCACCTGCTCTCCGGCAGCAGCCGCGGGGTTGTCGCGGGCACGGGGTCACGCAGGCCGCACCTGCCCCTGTCCCTGTGCGTCCTGGGCCGGGGGCCGCGAGGACCTGTGGGAACCCGCGGGCAGGAGCATGCGCAGAGGACAGGAACACCATCGGCTCGGCGGCGGGCCTGGCTCCAGCCAGGCTCTCACAGTGCTACCCCGAGGGTCCCGGCGGGCACGGAGAGGGCCACGGCAGAGGCTGAGCTGGGCCTGAACGGGACCCTGCTGACGCTGGGCCACCGGCTGGTGTCTGCAAAAATGGTTTAAAAACCCCAGACCAGGCCCAGAGGAGGAGCCGGCTCTGGGCTGTGAGGTCTGAGGCATGTGTCCTCCTGTCCTGGTATCACCTCCCTGGAGGCAGGCAGCACCCTGAGAGAGGCCAGGTGGGCTCCTTGTCCCTCGTGTGGCCCTTGGCGGCCTCTGGGGCGCAGGGCCGTCTGCCCTTCTCCCACCCAGCCGACCGGGGCTCTAGGTCTCAGGGACCCTGTGCACGGTCTGCTCTTTGGATTCCAGAGATCTGAACTTCTGCAGCGTGGGCGTGGCAGGCTCGAAGTGGATGACAGGCTTGATCTGAAAGGCCGCGAAGCCCTCCTGGTTCTTCTGGTTGCACAGACTTACCCTGTGCTCCAGCTCTGGGCTGGTTTGAGCGGAGCCCGCTGGGCTGGGCTGGGCAAAGGGGGCTGGGTCCAAGACAGTCTGGGATGGGCAGGGGTCCTCTGACAGGGAGGACAGCAGGTCCTGGACTGTGGTCTCCACCACTGGCTGCTGGGGAGGTGGTGGTAGTGGTAGGGGAGAGGGGCTGGGCGCAGAGGACACCTCGCGGGTGGTGCTGCAGTCCCTGGAGGAGCACAGTGTCTGGCTGCTGTCACTCTGGGCCCCAGCAACAGAGCTGCCAGTGGAGCAGGAAACACTCCCAGAGGTGGAGCTCACGCAGGTGCCCGTGCTGCTGAGCTTCAGGGGCACGTCCACCGAGAAGAGGTCCGAGGCGATGTTGGGCTGGTGTATGTCTATGGCAGCTGTGGTGACCACACACACGGCTGGATCTGGGACTCCAATGTCTGCAAAAAAGGAGGGGTGCTGGTAACCATGTTACCCTCTACTACCTCTGTGGCTCCTGATGAGGGCAGGTCTGAGCTGAGCCTGCTCTTGGAGAAAACAGTGAGGTTACTGTCAAGAGAGTTCAGAAAACAATGCATATACATGTATGTATACATACACACACAGTAACTACTATTTGACACAACAAAGGATCTTCAAACACAAACCCTTATTAGTAGAAGTGGGACAGGAGGAGACAGTTTGCACATCACTCCTCCAGCTCACCTTCCTAGCTTCCCTGCTTTAGCGCAACCCAGAATTTGCCCCGCTAGGTTGTCCATCAGCACCCCACTCTATCTTGCCCCCTGGCTCCCCACTCTAGCTCATTCCTCTAGCTCACCCTCCCCTAACTGCCCACTCTAGTTACCCAGTAAAATCCCCTGTTCTAGATCACCTACCTAGCCTTCAACCCTAGCTACCCAATCTAGCTCACCCCTACATCAAGATCCTGTTCCTCATCTACTCCCCACTACAGCTTGTCCTCTACCTCCCACTCTAGCTCCTCACTCTGGCTTGAACCCCTGGCCTTTCCCTTAGCTAACTTTCAGCTCCCCACTTTAGCTCCCCACTCGAGCTTACCCCCTAGTTCCTCATATTGTTCCCCACTATAGCTCACTCCCTGCCTCCTCACTCCCGCTACCTCTACAGCACACCATTCTGGCCTGGTGCCCTAGTTCCCACTTAGCTGTGCCCCCTAGCACCCCACAGGATCTGACCTCTCTAGCTCAACCCCCAGATCCCCCTCCGGCCGGACTTGCCTTCAGTGCCACAGAGCCTTCTCTTCTGAGCGTAGCTCTGCTTGGCCTAGGGAGGCCCAGACGCTGCCTGGTGAGGCTCTGGTGGGATGCTGAGGTTCGCTGTGATATATGGTTAAGACCACGGCAGTCCCTCCAGGGGCTGTAACTCGTGAGTTATGGGGAAGCTTAAAGACCAATAAATTTGGGAGGAAAGTTTTATTGACTACCCTGTGAACTTGGCAGGCCCTGACACTTGTAACTTTGCAGCCCAGTTTATAAAAATGATTTGTGCCAGAGGAGTCTCAACACAGGCTGATTGGCGTTAGCGGGACTGTGACCTGCTGGCAACCGTTGTGACTGCAGACACTGCTTCCTCCTGCCTGGGCCAGCGCCCCACACCCCTGGGCTGTCCTTCCCATGTCCTGTGACATCGCTCACGCCTGCAGGTTAATCCCTGGACTGTGTGGGGACTACTGTGACATGGTAGGCCTCAGAGCCCTCACTGGCTTGAAGGTCGTGGTTAGCAACACACACTGCCCTTTCTCCATCTCCACAGTGGCCCAGAGTGCCCCCGGCTTGTGCAGCCATAATTTCTAATGTCATGTAGCTCTCTCCCTTGACACAGCTCCTGGGCAAAGAGATCGGCTGGGGAACACCGTCTCCCCGGCCCATTCGAGGATGTGAATCACACATGCCACTTGCCAGCCCTCCACGCTTCTGCCTCATGGCTCAGAGGCTTTGGCTCTGCTTCTGACGGCAATGTTGTACATGGGCCTTCGCACACTGGGGCAGGTACACCTCTAGAACTCAGAGCTAGTGGGTGTCAGAAGAGATTAAAGAGAGCAGGGACGGTTCCAGGGCCAGCTAGGGGGGGGGCACTTCCAGCTGCTTCCGGGGTGCATGTTTGGCATGTCTATGGGAGGCCTGAGTGTCTGTTCAGACACCCCCCAGTCTTCAGGAGGGTCAGCACAGACCCCATGACACCCTAGCTGCTGATACACAGCTGATTAAATCTAGACTAAGTAAGCCTCAAATGTGACCCAGCTTCTTCTGCCTCCTTCCCTGTCCTGGAAGCCCCCACTGTGGGGACTGCAAAGAGGAGAAGCAAGGCAGAGCGGCAAGGACTCAAAGCTTCCCACACTCCTAGAATGTGCAGGATTACTTTAAAGCCTTGGTTACTCTGCAGACTCTCCAAGCCGAGATCTCAACTCCCTGGGACCAAGCGTGGCATCGGGCATTAAGGGTCTAGAGGTCACTGGCCAAGAGACAATAATGGCCATGCTGTTGTCTCCGGAGCTCAGGATTCAGGAGAGACAGAGAGATGCTACAGAATGTGCCCTGTGCCAGAGACACTTGCCTGAGTCCAGGTGTTTATATGTGGGCACCCGGGGCTTCTGGTCATGATGGTCAAGTAGGTAAATGCTGTACTTGCCTTCCACCATGACCACATCAAGTTACAAGTAAACTGCAGAACCGCCATCACTGAGAAAAACACAAAGACATGGAAGCTAAATAACATGCTACTAAATAATGAATGGCTCAACAACGAGATCAAGGAAAAATTTAAAAGCTACCTGAGACATTTAAAGTAAAATCACAATGAACTGAAAATGTATGGGATATAGTCTAAGCAGTTCTAAGAGGGAAATAAATAATGATGCAAGCCTACCTCAAAAAAAACAATACAAAAAATCTCAAATAAATTTATACCTAAATGAACTAGAAAAAGAACAACCAAGAGCTAGTTCTTTGAAAAGATAAGTGAAACAAACTTTTAGAGAAACTCACCATGAAAAATGAGGGTGCAAATAAATAACATCTGAAATGAGAGAAGTAGCAGCAGAAGGGATTGTCATAAAATACTATGATCTATGAAATGTCAACTAATAACAAAATTAACTGGTAGCCAAAAAGCTCCAAACAAATTTAAGTCCTGGCCAGATGGCTTCACTGGTGAATTTAACCAAACAGTCAGAAAATAATTAATACCTACCCTCCTGAAACTATTCCATAAAGTTGAAGAGGGGGGAAGGCTTCCAAACTCATTTTACAAGCCACATATCTGGATATCAAAATCAGACAAAGACACTGCACACAAAGAAAATTATAGACTAATACCTCTGAACATAGAAGCAAAAATCTTCAACAAAATATTAGTAAATGAAATTCCACGATATGGTAAAAAAATCATACACCATGATCAAGTGGGATTTACTCCCGGAATGCAAGGTTGGTTCAATATCCACAAATCAATTAACATGATGCACTGCATAAGCAAAATGAAGAATAAAAATCATATGATCATACCAACAGATGCAAAAGCTTTTGACAAAATCCAACACCCAATTATGATGAAAACTCTCAGCAAACTGGGTATGGAAGGAACATAACAGAGACCATATGTGAGAAACTCAACAGTGAAAAACTGGAAGCTTTTACTTTAAGATCGAGAACAAGACAAGCATTTCTACTTTCACCACTTTTACTCAACATAGTATTGGAAATCCTAGCCACAGCAATCAGAAAACAAAAAGGCATCCAAGTTGGAAATAATTTAAAATTTTACTATGTCTAGATAACATGATACTATACATAGAGAACCCTAAATGTTTCAACAAAAGACTATTAGAATAAATGAATTCAGTGAAGTAGCAGGATACAAAATTAATATTCAGAAATCAGTTGCATTTTTTAAAAATCCTCACCAAAGGATACTTTTCCATTTATCTTCAGATGGAGTGTGAGGGGGAGAGAGAGAGAGAAACATCAATGTAAGAGAGTCACATTGATTGTTTGCCTTCCACACGACCAGGACCAGGGCTGGGAACCACACTGCAACTGAGGTATGTGCCCTTGACCAGAATCAAACCTGAGACTCTTTGGTCTGCAGGCCGATGATCTAACCACGGAGCAAAATCAGTCAGGGCATCACTTGCATTTTTATACACCAATAACAAAGTTCACAAAGAGAAACTAAGGAAACAATCCCATTTACAATTGTATCAAAAAGAAAACATCTAAAATAAATTTAACCACAGAGATAAAAGACCTGTACTCAGAAAATTATAAAGCTTTGAAGAAAGATAATGAAGAACAAACAATATCTTCAGTGGAAGGAAATATGATGCATATGGATTGAAAGAATTAACACTGATAAAATGTCCATAGTACTCAAAGTAATCTACAGATTTAATGCAATCCCTATCAAAATAGCAATGACATTTTTCACAAAACAAGAACAAATAATCCTAAAATGTATATGGAATAACAAAGACCCCAAATAGCCACAGCAATCTTGAGAAAGAAGAACAAAGTTGGCGGTATCACACTACCTGATAACAAGCTATACTACAAAGCCATCGTAATCAAAACAACATGGTGCTGACATAAAACCAGACATGTAAATCAATGGAACACAACAGTGAGCCCAGAAATAAACCCACATCTATATGCCAACTAATCTATGACAAAGGTAGCAGGAATATACAATTTGATAAAGACAGTCTGTTCTCAATAGTGTTGGCAAAACTGGACAGATACATGCAAACAAATAAAAATAGACCTCTTTCTTACACCATAAACAAACAAACTGGATTACAGACCTGAATGTAAGCTATAGAACTCCTAGAAGAAAACATAGGTAGTCAACTCTTTGACATCACTCAGCCCTGACGAATGTACAAAACTCCACCTGGTAACACCTTCCAGTGCAATCAGGGCAGGGAGGACTCTGACCTGAGCAGGAGATGGAGCTGTGTCTAGACTCCCAGGATGCCAGCTGGGCTCTAACATGAGTGCTGAGGCCCATCCTTGGCCTGAGCCCATCAGGGCACAGCCTCCCCACACCCTCACATGGCCCAAACCTGACAGGCAGCGTCCCCAGATGAGGTACTTCCACCCCGATGACAACGACACAAGACCCTTGCACCTGCGGGGTGAGGAGCAGCTCTGGAGGTCACTCACCCCCCTGCCCTGAGCATTCCCCTGGAGAGCCAGCATGTTCCCATTTCACAGCCAGCAAAACCAAGACCAGAAGGATAACATCCTGTGTACAAAGTGACACACTGGCTTTCTGTGCCCTGGGCTCAGGTTCTGGCTGCTCTGGCCCCAGGGTTGGACTTATTATCTGGGCTCTGCCCATTAGGGGCTCAGAGTCCTCATTCATCAAGAAGGAAGTGGCACCCTTTCGGGGGTCCAGTGAGGACTGGGGGACCATGCACAGAACCAACAGGCAGGAGCCAATACAAGACACTAAGATCATGTCAAGGTCAGTCAAGGGAGCTTGGCTACTGGTTTCTCTGAACCAGGGTTCAGAGAGGTCATTCCGATCTGAAGTCACCTCCCAAATCCTGGGCTGAGGAAGGGACACAGTCCTGCAAGGTGACAGGCCCCAGCTCCAGGAAGCTGGGTGCAGACCCCAGGGTCACAGAGGTGAGGGGCTCCCCATGATGGGATTGGGGGAGCCTGCGGGCAGCTCACCTGGCAAGGGCTGCAGCTGCTCCACGACCCCCTCGGTGGTTGTCTCCTCCACCACGTGGTAGCGGCTTCCAGGCTGGCGGAGCACCTGCGGGGCCCTCAGTGCCTCCTCCCGTTCAGCTGCCAAGTCCAGTTCCTGCTGTGCCAGGTGTGCCCGCAGCTGCCGGATCTCGAACTGCAAGAGGAGAGGGCTGTGGGTCGGGGCCACTGAGTGGCCTGGGTGAGGACGGAGGAGGGGCCCTGCAGAGGCAGGCAGGGTGCAGACCAGGGGTTTGGGGCACTGTGCCCATGGGGGTTCTGAGCACCCAAAGGCTCATGTGGCACTCCTTAAAATCCCCCAACAGGACTCACCCATAGGAGCCTCCTCCAGGTCATAAACTAGGGTGGCTGGCAGCTCACTAGCCTCGGGGCAACTCCCCAGTGAGCACAGGTTTTGTCTCTGGGACCCTGAGGTTTTTCAGCAGGGGTGCTGTCTGGGAACACCCCTGGCTGCCTTAGGGTGGAAGGGTCGGAGGGTCCACCCAGACCTGAGGACTTTGGCTGACTCCTTGTTTTCAGCCCCGCCCCTTTCCCTAGGCCCTGCCTCACCCAGCACCCACCTACAGGGCCCTCTGGGCTCCACTTCTTCAGAGGACAAGTCTGTGTCTCCTGGAAGTGGGGGAGCAGAGTCCCCTGGCTGTGCAGGATTTGGGAGGGGCTTGGGGTTCCCACATTGTGTGTTCAGAACTTCAGCCGCTGCTCCTCTATAGTCAGCTTCACCCTCACCCCCTTCCTCCCAAACTGTCTCAGGGGCTCTGAGGAGAGTCAGCCCCTTACTTGCAGACGTTCCCTCCACCAGCCAGCACTTCCTCATCCACTCTCCCCTTCCCCCAAATCCCCTAACTCGGCCCCCTTTGTCCTGAAGGACTGGATTTAAAGAGCCAGTGTCTTCATGCTCATGTGCTCCAGCTTTGCCCTGACTACCTTTTCCATGGAATGTGGGGAAGGAGATCAGACTTCTTCCTCAAGAAAAGGCTGATCTGTAGTGTATGGTGATCTCCCACCCCAGCCGATGTCAAGCTGCCAACACTATGGCATGCAGAGCGCAGAGGACATGGGCACCAGCAAGAGCCCCAGCACACCACCGCCACCCGAACCCACAGACTGCGTCTCTGCTCCGGCCTCAACCGAGGCTGAGCCCCAGTTCTGTTCATACACTGAGCCCCGACCTGTTCACAGACTGAGTTCTACCTCTGGTCTCAGACTATGCTTAGACTCTGGACCGAAACAACCCAGTACTCAGATGTGGCCGTTGGCCTCAGAGGGCGAGAAATCAGGGCTGGCTTGGGTTCGAGCCACCCCTCTGGCAGCAAGGTCTCAGAGGTCACAGAGGGTCCATGAGGCAGCCCCCCGAGCTCTGCTGGGGCTGGGAGCCCCCTGTCCAGGCCTATCGGCACTTCCCATGGGCATACGCAGCCCACTTTCTCTGAGCTGCTCTGGGGGCGGCAGGCCCAGCTAATGGCCTCCCAGGCCACTCGGAACAAATGCATTATTGATAATGTGTGATCGATAACAAGCTGCCCATGAGTGTCCCATTACTGGAGGGAGTGAGCCCCTTCCACGGGAAGGGCTTTAATGCAGGCCAAGGCAGGGTGGACCCCCAGTGGCTGGGCGGCACCCCCAGTGCGCAGCCTGGTTTGTGGGTGTAACTGGCACGGCCTTGGCCAGATCGATGCACACTTTAGCCAGAAGCTCGATGGCCTCTAACGCAATAGCAGTAACGTCCATCATCCTGCTAGGGCTGTCTGCACAGACTGCCCACCTTCAAACCCATCTGCTACTGGACGGCATCCATGTTTATTTCCATCAGCTGTGCCGTTGGTGGCCACAGTGACAATCAGGAGACAGCTGCAAACCTGTGATTTAGGGGCAGGGTGAGACCGAAGTCAAACTTGGCCCCTTTCCACCCCCTGAGAAGGGTGGTGCTTGGCCATCCATTTACATGATGGCAAAAGGACAACATGAGTTATTTCTCTGACGGCTCATTTGATCAGCTCAATCGGTCTGTCGTTAAAGCTATCGGCTGGTTTATAAATTACTTCCCATGTTTTAAAAAGAACACACTTGCCAGCCCACAGTGGAGATCTTGAATAATGCAGGTCACAAAGGCTATGGTGCTGAGCTGGGGCATGTGGCCTCTGCGGAAAAGAGGGGGCTCTGTGGAATGAGCAGCACCAAGTGTACCCCCAGAGTGCAGGCAGAACCCCTTTCCTGCTGTTTCTGACCGTTGAAGGCACTACTGCCCTCAGAGCCATGGAGGCCCAGCCTGAAGCAGAGCACTATGCTATCAGCATTTTCTCGGGTGTGGGTGTCCACAGCAGGGCCCACAGATGGAGCAGATGGGCCCAGGCTGCCTGGCAAGGAGGTGTGGTCCCAGCTCACAGGCCAGCGTGGATGGGGGGGCAGAGGAGCAGGGCACTGCCCCCACCCCACCTCACCCCACCTCACCCCACCAGCCTCCTCCAGAAATACCTGCGGCTCGGGGTTGAGGTTCTCACCTTGTTTCTATTTTTGTTTTGTTTTTTTTATCCTCATCCGAGGACATTTTTCCATTTTTTGTTCAGATAGAGTGGGAGGGGGAGAGAGAGAGAGAAACATCGACGTGAAAGGGACACATTGAGTGGTTGCCACCCGCAAAACCCAACCAGGGCCAGGGACAAACTGCCACCAAGGTATGGGAACCGAACCCGGGACTCTCTGGACCACAGGCCGACGCTCTACCCGCTGAGCCAAACCGGCCAGGGATCACCTCATTTCTGTTTTTGATTTTTTTTTTATCCTCACCTGAGGATATTTCTACATTTATCTTCAGATAGAGTGGGAGGGAGAGAGGGACAAAGAGAGAGAGAGAAACATTGATGTGAGAGAGACACATCGACTGCCTGCCACCTACACAACCCCATCCAGGGCCGGGACGAACCGCAACCGAGGTACATGCCCTTAGCGGGAACCGAACCCAGGGCTCTCTGGTCCGCGGGCCGACGCTCTAACCGCTGAGACAAATCAGACAGGCTCACCTCATTTCTTAAGGAAACTGGCTGGTAGATTTGCATGTATGAGCAGAGGGTCGATAAGCTCGATTATGCCTCTTGCCGTACGAGGAGGGGAAACAGCAGGACTGTCGTGACCCGCTGTGAGTTTTTCTTGCACACAGACCACTCTGTCAGCACCTGGTGCCTCAGGTGTGCCTGTGGCAGAAGCAATGTCCCCACGTCCAGGCCTGGCCAAACAAAACCTGCGCACAAATCTCCACCCCCTTTCCATGCTCCGGGTTAAGGGAGAAAATGCCAAGGACCTGGCATTAGAAGCCACCCAATGGGAGGGGCCTGGAGGCAGTGACGGTGGGAACGGGGTCCCTTACCCCACCCCCATCCCTCTGGAGGTCAGGGCCTGGAGCTTTCACTGGGGGAAAAGGGGTGTGGAACAGGCCCCTGTGCAAGGCTGGCAGGGCAGAGGCCACCAGGAGGACACCTGGCTCCGCTCCTGCCTTAAATGCCCTCACGTGGCTGTGTGCGCTCAGTCCTCGGTTTTCTCAAGTGTAACATGGGTGTGTCGGGGGGGACTGGCTAGGGTCAGCTCCCACGTCACCATTTGCCATGGGCCAGGCTTCAGGCTGAGCAACCACAGAGCCACCCCAGAGATCCCGTCAGTGCGGGGACAAGGGCGGCCTGCAGCTCGAGCTCCAGGAGCAAGTCTGAGCGGCCTGGGCTCACGTCTGTCCTTACAGCCCACCCTTAGCCCTCCGGGCGCATCTCTCAAAACCTGGCCACGCTCACATCCCCAGCCGCGCTCTCGTTTCCTACGGGCATTGCCCAGTTAAGTCCCAAACCTGGTCTTAAAATAGAGCTAAACATGAGGCATCTGTCCACTGGGCCTGTGGCGTGGGCGGCCCCGTGCATGGGGGGAGCAGGTCCTGGCAGCTCTGAGCAGCCCCTCCAGTCCCAGCCCCTGAGATTCCAGCCATCTGGCCCTTTTTGCTGTCTTAACTGAGGTGACAGACTTCAGATGTTTCTAAATCAAAATGGTTTGCTTCTGTTCTTCTCTTTCCCAGATGTCACTGCCTAGAGAAAACCGGCCTTTATTTACCGGCTCTTTCCTGTGCAGAATCTCTCTCTGGCCAAGACCCTGGGATGGAGGCCCCATGTGGGGTCACTTGAACCCTGGAGCTCGGACGGGGTCACAGTGGAAACCCTGGAGGGGTGGCCGCTAGGGTTTGCTCTCAGCCCTGTGCACATGGCTGTAAATGGGAGTCGAGATGGAGGGTCAGCCTGGTCTCTCGGGCTGGGAGGCCAGGAGTGCATGAGGGCGGACGGGTCACCATGTTCGTGTCTGACATGACCAACGCAGTGAGGACGGCATTTGTTCTCCTATCAGCTGCCTGACCACTCTAGCAGAGCCTGCCCATTATCCTGCTCAGCCCCTGCCCCAAACCCAGGCCCCCTCGCCTGGGTGGCTGCTACAACCTCTCTCCCCGGTGGCCCCCCTCCACGCCAGCTCCTCTGGACACCCATCCGCGCACACAGAGCCCAGCACGTCTGCCACCACACCAACTGCCACCTCTGTGCAGGGACCTGGTCCCCTCTGCGCTCCCGCCCTGTACCCCCATACCAGAATGCTCTGCACACGATGCTGTTCCCACAGAGCAGGGAGGCCCTTGCTGCGGGCCCCACCTGGAACACCTCGTCCCCGCCCGTAAACTCCCACAGAAGGCGCTGTCCGCCCCTCTCGCATCATGCAGACGACGGGAAGGAAGGCACAGGGGTGGTGTTATCTGGCTCAAGTCCTGGGGAGGTAGCAGGGGCTGGGCCCTCTCCCTGGCCCAGTTGCCCAGCCCCCTTGACTGCCTGGCACGACCTCGCAGGGCCCTTGGCCATCTCTAGTCCTCTCCACGGCCCCTGGAGGGCAAACAGTACTGCCAACACCTCTTGGAGAGTCTGGGGGTCCTGGGGTCCTGGCGGTGGTCGGCTCAGCAACCTCAGTAGACAGAATTCAACCCCTGTGTCAGAGATGGTTGTGTCAAGAAGACTCATGAGCTGGAGACTCGGCAGGTTCGGATTGGAGAGCCGACTGTTGCCATGGGCCAGTGACAAGAATCTTGGCCCGGGTGCCTGCGCTGAGTCAGCCCGGCTGGCCGCGCATAGCCTTAGAGACCCATTTCCTCCACTCTGGGTCTCTGACCTCAGGGGCCCTGCTGCTCTGGGCACCACCAGCACCCCAAGACCTGGACAGAACCCAACGGGGCCGCAGTTACCCCCTGCTCCTGGCAGATCTGCGTCAGCCTCTCCAGCTGCTCGTCCTGGATGGCCTTGGCCTTCTCGTACTGCTGAATGACCATCTCCATCTCCACCTTCACGGGCAGGATGTAAGCTGCAAGACAGAGACAGCGTGAAGAACCGGGCAGAGCGGCTCAGGCCGGGAGGGGCCGGCCGGCCTTCAGCCATCAGCAGCCCCTGCTGTGGCACAGTCCCCGGGGGCCTGGGGCGGGGAGACATCCAGGTGCCTAACAGCAACCAGAGTGCAGGAGGGCGACCACCCCCGTGGAGAAGACCTGTCTTCCTCCTTTTCCACAGTACGGAGCCCTCAAGCTGGGACTAAGAACCCTATTTTCCAGTCTGTGTGGCAGCCACTAGGTCACAGGCTGGACAACAGGATGTGAGAGCAGGTGTCCCTGGAAGGCGGCTGGGGTTGGTGAGGAACTGCGGGTGGGAACACGGACTGCATAGCCGCCCTGCACACCGGTCCAGCAGCTGGACAAACAGGGACCCCCGGCCCAGCAATTCCACCCCGAGGCCCCTGAGGTAAAGAAAAACATACATCACCCCACCCGGTTTGGTGCAGAGGTTAAAGCATCGGCCCACAGACCAATGAGTTGCGGGTTTGATTCCAGCCAAGGGCACGTGCCTCGGGTGCGGTTCGTCCCCGGCCCTGGTCGGGGTCATGCAGGAGGCAGCCAGTCGATGTGTCTCTCACATCAGTGTCTCTCTCTCCCTCCTTCACACTCTATCTGAAGATAAATAGAAAAATATCCTCGGGTGAGGATTAAAACAAAGAAAGAAAAACATACGTCTACACAAAAACTCAACCAGGAAGCTCACAGCGGCCAAAGTGCATGTCCACCCACGGGTGGTAGCTGAGGGGGGCCTCTGTGCAGTGGAGGGCTCCCCAGCAGCAAAAAGGAGGGGAGCGCTGAGACCAGCCACCACAGGGCCCTCCTCAATCGTCCCACACAGACCAGAAGTCGTGTGATCCCACTATGCGCAGCGTCCAGAGGCAAACCAAGGAGACGGAAGTACATTCGTGGCTGCCTAGGCCTCCGGGGAGTGGGGAGCGACTGCAAATGGGTGTGGGGGTAGTTTTCTTTGGGTGATGAAAATGCTCTAAACATGGATTTTGTTGACCTTTCTACAACTCTGTGACGATACTAAAAACCACTGAACTGAGCACTTTAAATAGGTAAGTTTTATGGTGCATGGACTATAGCTCAATAAAGACATATTTTTAAAGGCAGCTGTGGTTTTCCTGTTCCTCCCTTCCCTCTTCCTGGGGCTGAAGCGAAGATGTGATGGCTGGCACTGCAGCAGCCACCCTGGGCCATGGGGACTCAGAAGCAGCAACGGGCTGCAGAGCAAGGAGAGGAGGAGCTTGGGATCTTGGCACAGACGGCACTGACTTGCCTGTGAGAGCCAGAAGCCGCCGTCTTAAGTCACTGCTGTTCTGAGCCTGTTACTCACTGTGCCGGACACACACGAAGACCAGAGGAGGGAGCCTGGACTCTGCGTTGGGGGCCCCACACTTTCCCAGCCAGCAAAGCTGCACCCAGCTGCATTCCAGTTTGATGGAGATTCGGGCTCACAGGGTGGGATGTGGGGTGTGGACCAGGGATGGGAGACCCCAGAGGCTGTCCTTCCCAACTCACAATGTCTGTCATTTGCAGTCAGGGCTGGAGTGACCTTGGAGTCTCTACATGATACAGACCTTTGGCACAGAGTACCAGACGCCTCAGGGGAGAAGGGAGAGGGCAAGGGGGTGGGGTCTGGGCCCCCACTCGCGGCAACCAAAGCAACTCCACTTTCATTCTGCTTCCACATTGAGGATTTGCACATGATTTTGCAGAAGAAAAGCCTTCAGTGCTTAAAAAAAAACTAGAGACTGAAAAGAAAAGCAAAAACCAGAACACTTGGGAATCGTCTGTACAACTTCCTAGTCCTGAGCGGTGAACTGGCAGTCTGCGGTGCAGTGTGCCTGGACCCCGCAGGCTCTCAGGGCGGGGCTTCTAGTCCCCTCCCCCCCAGCAGGGCCCCCTCCGCTGGAGAACACGCTGGTCTGTCACCACCTAGGACCCAGGTCCGGTGAGGAGGCGCCGTGCACAGGGCAGCCCCTGACTGACGGAGCAAAGGCCATGGGAATGCACAGCGGGTCGGGGAGAGGGGACCCAGAGATGGGGGCGTGTGTCACTAGAGCTGACAGAGGCCGGAGCCAAAACCCCACCCAGGCCAACAGCTCCCGGACACCCTGGCTGTTTGCACGTCGGCAGGTTTGGGGGCACCTAGCTGTCCTTGGTGGACACAGAGGTGAGAGGGACCCCTTGGGAGCAGCCCTGGACAGTGACCTGAACAGAGCGGTGGGAGCCGGAAGGTGGCACTGGGGTGGTGAGCAACTAGTCTTTCCGGCGGCCGGGCTCTCGGGCAGGGCTGCCATCCAGGAAAACGGAACGGTCATGTTGGACGAATGCATGACCTCTGAACTCTAGTGTCTGCGTGTGACGTCTGGGCAGCCGAGAGCGAAACCCAAACTTCCCTGAATGAGCAGCGACAGGCTCAGTTCTCTCCGGCCTGAGTCTCCACCCCCACCCCTGCTGCTGCCCACCCCTGGGCCCCGCCACAGGGTCTCTCTGCAGCTGTGTGTCACCCGCCAGCCCCATGGGTCCCCCCGGCCGCTCACCATCAATGACCCTCTTCACCCGCCAGATGCGGAGCACGATGATGAGGCTGATGGCATCCCAGGGGCTCCGGGGCCCGTTGGCCACAGTGGACGCCACCATCGGGGCCAAGGACAGGACGATCACCGCCCCGTCGAACACCTGGGAGAGGAGCAGACCTCAGCGCCTGGGCCGCCCCCTCCCCAGCCAGAGGGCAAAGCGCTGCCAACTCCCCCTCCAGGAAAGGGCCCCCTTCGGGCTGTCTCCCTGACCTGCTCAGGTTCCCGGGACCCCAGCAGAGGGCTCCTGAGCACACCCCCCCCCCCCAGGGACCTCCACCCTCCTCCTGCCTCTGCTCTGATAGCCTGGGGCTGCTCCAGGCACCTCTGCCAGAGGCTCTTCCCAGCATCTGGTCCCCTCCCGGGGACGGGGCGCAGCCTCACCGCCCCTCGTCTCCATCCACAGGGCAGGGCCAGGACAGCAGGGCGGCCCCCTCTGCTGCTCCTCCAGGGCCCGGCCCCTGCTCAGCTAACAGTGGGTGGGTGGGCAGCTGACACAGCAGGACCAGTGCCCATGGCACCCTGGAGGCCGACCGGCCCGACGCCCTGTCTGCTCGGCTCGCCCGCCCCAGGCTGCCTGGTTGGCTTGGAACACCCCAGAAGCTTTCCACAGCGACACGAGAAGTTAGAGCTTTGCAGCACTCCACGGGGCCGGGCTGGCACCCCTCCCCCGGGAACTTCCTCAGCGCCCCCCCATGCTGGGCTGCGTCCCATGTAGAGGGAGCAGCCCCTCCCCACTGGCTCCCGGCCTGGGACAGGCAGTGGCTTCGGGGCGGACACTGGTCTTTACCTCTATCTTGTTTTCGATGTAATCCCAGATCCCAAGCACCACAATCCGGAGAACGGTCTGAGGAGAGAAAGCGGCACAGGAACTTGGGTTACCACGTTGCCCTCACTGAGGGGGTCCCTGCAAGTCCCAGGAGCATGGGGCACAGCACCCATTGCTGGCCCTTCTCTCCAGAGGGGCCCAGTCATGGGTAGCAGCTCAGACACCTCACTCATCCTCTGACCCCGGGAGCAGGGTGGAGGGACCTCCATGAGACTCTCTGTCCCCAGGTCCTGCACACCAGCCCCTCTGCTCCTGCAGGAGGGGTGCAGGGAGGAGGCAGGGCTCCCTGTAACTCTCTGGTACCCCATTGCCCCGTTACTGCTGCAGCCCACTCTGTCTTCTACCAGGTCCAAGGTCGGGGCCATTCTCCCAGCCCCCAATATCCCCACTTAGCCCCTGCTCGGTGTGGGGACGGGTGGGGTCTGAGGCTGGTTCTTCTCTCTACACAGGGCTTGTCTGTCTCAGGTGCGTGTCTCCAGCAGAGACAGGAAGGGAACGCCGAATTACACCAGGTAATAACTCCTGCGAAGCCAATACAGCCAGAGCAGAGGGACCTCGGGAAGAACCTCAGCAACTGGGGAAATGTGTCTGCTGGCAGCCACAGGCACATGGCACATTTTCCACGGTGTGCATTGGGGGACACCTAGCCACAGCCCAGGTGTTGGTGGGAGGGAACGGCAGGGGGTGAGGGGCCAGGGAGGGCGGGACCCTCCATGAGGCAGCAGGCAGGGAGCACGCACTGTTTTGAAGGCCGAGGCACCTCCAGGACAATGATCTCAGAGGGCGGGTTGGGGCACCGGGGATTGACCCCCCCCCAGTCTGCCACCTACACACCCCAGACCCACACCCAGGATTCTGGATGCCAGGCCTGAGGCCCAGCCCAGCCCTGAGACAGACATACAGAGAGAGAGAGAGACGAAGAGACGAAGAGAGGCAGAGAAAGAAACTGAGAGACAGAGACCAAGAGAGCACCACTAGATGGGAACAGAGCAGCCCAACATGACCTGGGACTTGACCCCTGGGGCTCCCTGATCACATCAGAAAACACTCTCTGCCTCACATCCCAGCCCACTCAGCTCTCCTGCCCCATCCTTCCTGCATCCCAGGCCCTCTGCCCCCCACCCCAGGCGGCCTGCGTGGGTGTGTGTGGGTGTGAGCTGTGTGTGTGCGTGGGCTGCCCAGCGTGCCCTGCCTCCTGTTTCTGCCCTTCTCCCGTGCCCGCTGACACTGCTGGAAAGCCCCTGGGGCTCTGTGTGGGCTGGCGTGAACCGTGCCTGCAGGCGGGCCCATGGGCACAGAGGGACAGTGGCCGCTGACTTGGGCCAGTTGTCATTCTGCTCGGGAGAACCTGATTTCCACAGGAAACTCCCCAGGCCGTCAGTGACCACCACTGCCCACAGCATGAAGTCCAGTCCTCTCGGCTTTCCTGGGAGACCCTGCCTGCAGCAGCCCCGCTGAGGGGAGGCCTGGGTGTCGCGGTGACAGGCGGGAGCTGCCCGGAGTGTCACTGACCCCCAGCAAAGTCAGAGGGATGTGCTGGGATCCCCGCCCCCACCCGGTAGTGCCGGGGGGCTAGCCGCTCCCACCAACACCCAGGGTCCGGCAGCTTCCCCCTGACCTCACACATCAGAGACAGATGGGGCTTCATCAGCGACCAGAACAGTGAAGGACACTCCCTGACCCCCCACTCTGGACACCTGCCCTTGGACTCTCACCGAGGTGGCACTGCACTCGGCCTAGCCAGACCCCATATGCCCCACAGCACCCAGGCAAGTCCACGCCCAGCCCTGGGCCTCCCTTTCGGCCCAAGGGACAGGCCCAGCACCACGGCCAGGGTCCTACCGCTCTCCTCCCCTCGGGGCCCTGGCTCCAGCCCGGCCACTGCCTGCTTCTCCCTGGCCACATAAACCACACGCTCTCCCTCAGCCACATCCACTCAGTCCTACCGTCGCTGAGACACGGCCCACTCACACCTGGACCACACCCGCTCGTCTGCTGGGCCTCGGCGTGGGGGCCGCTCGCCCCCCGAAAGGGGCACAGGAGTGTTCCCTGCGCATGTCTCCTGGATGCAGTCTCGAGGGTACACAGAGGGCCCAGCATGTGCTCGTACCCTGGTCTCCCGGGACAGGAGCCGCCCCAGAGAGAAGGCCGCAGGGCCCGTCTTCACCTACCTCCGAGAAGAACACGGAGAGGATGACCAGACTGATCCAGTGAATGACCCCCGCAAACTGGAACGCACTGGAAACTGCAACAGACACAGTTAACAGGGCCCAGTTTTAGGAGCAAGGAGGTGGCCGGTCGGGAGAAGGGCTTCCCAGCCTGGGAATGGCCCCTGGGACCCTGCGGTGTGCGGGGACACTTCCATCTGGGTGAAATCAGACCGGGGACCGCCAAGTGGTGTCTGTGACAGGGTGGTGGAGGTGGGTGGGCCGCCGACTCGTCTTTCCTCGTCCCCCGCAGGCCCCTCTCGGAGCTCAGCTCAGCCCTGAGCCTCCAGGGACTGTCCTCCAGGAAAGCTCTCCAGAGAGGCCTGCGGAGACGGGCTTTCGGACCTGGTGGTTGTGAGGTCCGGTCAAGCTGCCGGAAATCCCCGCCACAGCTCAGCCCCAGAGCGCCCCGCGTGTGAGTGGGAACGGAGACAAGCTCACTTTGACTTCCCGTTTTGAAAACTGGGTGGCAGAGATGGGGGTGTCAGCCAGAGTGTTTCAGAAAACAGGCTGGAACAAGAAGGGAGCCAGCCCCGCAAGGTGGCAAAGCAAGTGGCCGGGTGGGCTCTGCTGGCCCTTCCAGAAGCCGGGGTGCCAGTCGCGGGAGCAGCCGGCCGGCTCCCACCCGCTGCCTCCAGGCAGTCCCTGCGGGAAGGACCTGGCTCCGGAAGGCCTGGCCGGTGGGGCTCAGTGGTTGAGTGTCGGCCCTGCACCAAGAGGTCGCCTGTTCGATTCCCAGTCAGGGCACACGCCCAGGTTGTGGGCTTGATCCCCAGTGGGGGGCATGCGGGAGGCAGCCAATGGATGTTCTCTCTCATCGATGTTTCTATCTCTGTCTTCCTCTCTCTCTAAAATCAATAAAGGAAAAAAAATTCAAAAGAAAAAAAAAAGAGAGATACTGGCAGGACATCCTAGGCAACTGGGGCCAAAGGAGCACAGGAAGGCTGCTGGGTACACACACTGCCCCCTTCTGGGCCCCAGCTGGGCCCAGGCGACACAGAGCTGAAGGGGCTGAGGGACAGGGCCCAGAGCCATCCCCGGAGCGGCTAGACCCCACAACCTCGCCCAGAGCCCTGAGACTGGAGCGCCCCGGGGTGGCAGGAACCAGGTCTGGAGTGGGGGGCCCCCTAAGGTCCCTGGCGTTGGGCCAACAGGACCCTGAGAACATGAGCCAGGAGACGTCGTTTTTCTTCCTGTCTCAGCCACGTGGGAACTGAGGGCAGGGCCGGGGGTGACACGGGAAGGCCCCCCAGACGATTCTGAAAACGTCAACTCTCCTCATTATTTCTCCAATGAATTCTTGTGCCTTTTTTTTACGGTTGCTTCAGAAGGGCAATAAATCTCTGACTGCGTTTTATGGAACTTAAGATGCCTTTTATGAGCTGCTGTTGGATCTCCCACCAAAATCAATCTCCTGGATGTTTAATTTTGAGGAACATTCCAGTGTTGACCAGGCTCTTGGTCCTGCCCAGTGCCCGTCACACCAGAGCGCCAAGCGCCCGGGCGCCGCCCGGCATTGGGGAGGAAGACCCTGTCGCCGGCAGGACTCACGGGAAGCGGAGGAGGGAAAGTGCCCAGCACGGGTTAACGGGAGGCAGGCTGAGCATAGAACCAGTGCTGGCCACCTGATGCCGGCAGATGCTTCGACGGAAACCCAGCAAGGCTGATGGGACAAAAGCCACCCTGTGTTCCATCTGGTCACCCTCTCTCAGAGTCAGGGCGGCTGGGGGACTGGGAAGGAACCCTGAGTCTGAGGCTCTAGGAAGGGCCCGGGGGCATTTGAGAAAACAAGTCTAAGGCCACGGATGGCTTTGGGGTGGCTGGACCTGTGGTCCCGGAGTGGCCAACGGCAGCAAAGGAAACAATAACCTCATCTCTTTTTATCTACGCTTGAAAGACCCACCTTCTGACCTGGGGGAATGCACAGAACCGCTCATCACGGAAAGTCAAGTCTCAACCCCCGCCCAGGGCACCAGGCGGGACTACAAGGCTGGGGCTGCAGGCAGGACCTTGCTCTGTCGGCCCCGTGGTCACCACATCCAGAAGGATGAAGGGGCAGCAGACAAGCCCTGGCCTCCACACACCCTGACCCAGGACAAACACAGGGAGGACGGACGGTGGGCAGAGAGCTGGCCCTGCCCATCCTGGCCTGGCGGCTTGAAGTCCCAGCTCCAGGACTGCTCACCAGGGGGCGCTCTAACCTCTCCGGAGCTGAAATCCCTCGTCTATGAACCGGGAAGACGTCCACTGCGCCCATCTCACGGGCTGCTACTGGGCCAATGACAGAAATGAGCTTTCCACACTGTCCCTTATGCTGGACAGAAACACAAGGAGTCACTGCCTGTGGCTGCAGTCGTCAGTTACGACGAGGGGGTACGCCGCCAACCACAGGCACTCTCTTTAAGCTACAGAAAATTCCCAATGGGAACGAGGGGAAAAGTGCAGACAGGGGTCCCCAATGTTCTCTGTCTCACCGGTCTTGGGAAGTGCAATGCCTGGAGGACACAGGAGCGGCCACACGGCTGAGGAGGGCAAACTGATGCTGGGTGACAGAGAGAGGCTGCAGCGTCCTCCCTGGCAGTGACCCCATGGGGCTGGGGTCAGGCTGGGGCAGGCCACGCTGCTGGCTGGGGACCCCTGGTGGGGGCACATCGAACATCCACATCATGCGTATTTGCATAGGGTACCCTGTGCTACTCACACTGGAGAAGCTTTATATCTATTAGCAGTTCCAGAGTCAGGAGAATCACCACCAATACTACACAGGCTGCCAGGACACTGTTGAGACTGGCACTGAGCAAAAATACCTGCCACACGGCTGCCCTCTTCCCACAGCACGGCTTCAGCCAGGTGGACCTGTGGGGACAAGAGCGGAGGACGCACTGAGAGGGGGCCCCAGGCCCTGCTCTCGACCACCCCTCCTCTCCCCTCTAAGCTGCCCAGCCAAGCCCAGTCTGATTCAAGAGCCAAGGAGGAGAATTAGGAAGCGGGGTCTCTCTGGGCATGTGGTCCACTCCTGTCAGAAACATGATGCGGGGAAAGGGGTGCCTGTGAGGGGCCCGGAAGGCTGAGGGCACCTCGTTCGCTCATGAGGGGGTGTCAAGTATCCTGAAGGGGTCGGGGAGCCTCCTGTGGTCTCTGCCTTCAGCTCCCAGGCCTCAGTACTCTGGGTTCAGCCTCCCTTTGTAAGACTGCTCAACCCCTAGGGTTACCGAAGGTTAAACGAGAGACGTGTCTGGTCCCTAAAGCACCTTGTAGCCGACCTTGGGAACTGATGATAAAACATTTGATGGCCCACACGCTGGGCCACTGCCCGCCCTACTGTCCAAAGGGAGCCGTCTGGTGAAGTCCAGTGCCCGCCCGAGACCCCAGGGGTGTGCGTGGGAAGGGGGTCCGCGGTGAGGGCTCCGTGCTCCCTGAGGAATGACTCGAAGGCGTCCAGGAGGAGCTGGTCCTGGACAGTCCACCAGCGAAGCCTGAAGGAGCTGGTGTGGGGCACAGCTCCCGGCTCCTCGAGAAACCTGGCAGGAAGTGGGCTCCTTCCACCTTGCTCTGGGTGTTTTCCAAAACCTCTGGGAGTAAAAGGTGCTGTCCTCGGCTCCAGGGGAACGCAAAGACTGGGGTCCAATCTCCAGCCCCGGGCGCTGGTCCCAGGAAGGATTTCACTAACCCGGGGGCCAGGCGGAGAGGCTACCAGAGGCTGGGGCCGGGGGTGTCTGTCCAGCAGGGCCAGGAGGACGAGGTGTGAAGTCTGCTGCTCCAGCTCAGAGGGAGGCTGCGCACCATCTGGACAGAGGCCTGGAGAAGCCTAGATGCCCGCCCACAGGGGCCCCCTGAATTTTAGGATTTTGGCTGTCACTCCTCAGCTGACATGCTCTCCTGATCCACTAGGGTGTCTCACCTACTCCCCCCTTTCTTTCCCCAAAAGGTGACATTCCTGGTCCCTTCCTGGGCCCTATTTTAATCTTTCACGCTCTGTCACAAGCTCAGCACTTCTCTCCTGCTTCCTGCTAACTCCTCCGAGGGCACAGCCCTGCAGGCCTGAGACCCAGCCCCCACGCCACCCCTCCGACACCCAGCAGGGGTCTGCGGCCCCTCAAACGGATGCCCGCTCACTGGCACCAGAATTGCACGAAGCATCCTAGCAGTTATCGATAGAGAGGGTGTGGCTCAGGGGTTAGAGGGTCAGCTGGCCTGCGATTGATCGAGGGGTCACGGGTTCAACCTGGATCACAGTGCGGGAGGCAACCGATCGGTGTTTCTCTCTTTCTCTTTCTCTCTTCCCCTCTTTTCCTCCCTCCCTCCCTTCCACTCTCTCTAAAAAAATCAGTGGAAAAATATCCTCAGATGAGGGTTAACAACAACAACAACGAAGGTGTCTGTGAAGGTCATTTTTCCAGGACGGTGTCTTGCTGAGGCCAGTGTATGAGTCTGGGGTGCTGAGGGCGTCCCCGATCCCAGGCTGGGGCTACTCGGAGAGCAGGAACATGGGCTCTAAGCCTCCAGATTGGAGCAGACCAGGAGGAGCAGACTTTTCTGCTGACCCGGTGTTTAGAAATTCCAAACTGCTAATACCACATCCCGAGATTCAAAAGCTACCGACATTCCCAGGAGACTGTTCTAGCAGAAAAACAGAATATAACTCGTTTCCAAATATCCCTGAGTGGCTAAGTAAGGACTCAAGGAGCTTAGTGGGGCCAAAAGGAAAATCAGCATCAAAATGCAATTCTTTTTCATCCTCATCCAAGGATATTTGTTTTTATAATGTTTAGAGTGAGAGGGAGAGAGAAAAACAGATGTGAGAGAGAAACATCGCTCAGCTGCCCCCTCGCACCCCGAGGATATTTGTTTTTATAATGTTTAGAGCGAGAGGGAGAGAGAAAAACAGATGTGAGAGAAAAACATCGCTCAGCTGCCCCCTCGCACCCCGACGGGGAGTCAAACCCGCGCTGTCTGGGGTGAGGGATGGCACTGCAACCACCTGAGCCACGGCCAGGGGGACTCTGCACGGCCAGGGGGACTCTGCACGAGTTGAAGACACTTTCCCTCCACCTCTTGGCCGGGCACTCAAGCCCTGGAGACTGGTTCTCAGGGGTGCGCCCCCCAGAACGGCCACCAGAGGGCAGGCGTGTCCGGTTGCAGGTCTTGGGGCGGCAGGAGGGGCAGCTGCAGGAGGCGTCTCTGGCTGCCAGGGGCCAGCGCCCCAGGACCAGATGGCCTGTGCCTGCTTCGGCAGCTTCCCGTGCGGGTCCCACCGGTCACTCCGGAGGCCTCAGAAGTCCTGGTGGGAGGGGAGGCCCGGGGCCTTGACTGCTTCTGTTTTATATTCTTAGGAGTCTGATACAAGCTTGAAAGAGTAACTCCTAGAATATCAAAATGAACTCCGGCGCGTTTCCCATGGGTCCTTCTGTGAGGTGAGGCCAGGAGGTGGCCCTGAAGGGCCGGCTCCACGACCCTGGTGGTCAGGCAGCCGCCCCGAGCTTTGCCCTCCACCTGCCCTGAGGTGGGCGGACATGGTGCCCGCAGCGCAGGAGCTGCGCTGGCCCCGTGGGGCCTGGCCTCCCACGCCCAGCAGTGCCCGTGACCCCTGCTGTGGGGTGAGCAGGGAGGGGCAGTAGCTTGGTGGGGACCGTGGAGACCCTCAAGCCCCCCACACAGCACTCAGGCAGGGCTGTCGGGCAACCCCGGGGAGGTGGCAGCCGCAGCTGCCAGCTGCCCTGTAGGCAGCCAGACGCCCATCTGTCCGGGCTGGGGGGCGGGGGGCTGGTGTCTCCAAGCAGCAGCCCCGTGACGGAGCTCCCAGCACAGTCTGCGAGCCTGCCTCTCATTTCCACGTGGGAGTAAGTCTCGTCTACCTTTTCAGGGTTGTTCTAAATATTAAAAATAACACATGTAAACTGCTTACTAAGTACCTACTGTGAGGATGTAGGTACACGGGCCTCAGAAAAGGGGTTGACTCTCTAAATACCCAAGTGCGGCCACCCACGCCATCCGCTCACAAGTCCAAGCGCGGAACGCCAGGCGCTGTCCCGGGTGCTGAGCACCGAGGGGGGCCTCCCCTGTGGAGCCCGCGTGAGCTCAGGCTGCGCAGTGAGCTCCTGGTTCCACCCACTCCGTGAAAAGCAAAACAAAGGGAGGGGAAAGGAGACTGAAATGAGCAGCCGTGTGGGACTTCTCCAGACCGACAGATACCCACCTGCAAGAACCCTCAACCCCGCGCCCACAGGGACACCCTGCCGCAGTGTCTGGGTGGGCGGTGAGCTTCTCTCTCACCCTGGGGGGACCCTGTGACCCGGTACCTGGTTGAAGGGGAAGCCACAGCAGCCCCCTGACCCAGAAATCCAGCACTCGGCCCTACGGGGACTCTCAGGGTGAAGGACGGGGACCCTCCCAGCCCCGGGGGGTGTGGGGGTGTGGGGAGGGACTGAAGAACTGGAAGCTTCCACACAGGCAGCTCAGTTCGCAATCAGAGCTAAAGGCCAGCCTGGCGCCCAGCTGGGGACGAGGAGGGGGAGCAAAGCCTGGGCTGCTGGGGTCACTGCAGTCTGACCTTCGCTTGTCCCAGAATCTCAGGTTTCTGCACCCTCAGAAATGCCAGCTGGTGGCGAGCTCAGGCTGGGAAGAAGGCGCTGTGACCCCACTCGGCGAGCCACCCAACAAACCCCTCTCGGGGCACAATGGCTGCCCTGCCTGGGGGTCCAGGGTGTTGCCCCCACATCTCTGAAGGGCGCCCTGGGATCAAGCCTGACTCAGGGGGGCCACGGACCCCTCCCACCCTGAGAGTCCTTGGTGCTGGGAACCGGCCGCCAGTCTGGGCCTCCTTTGTGCTGTGCTGCGTGGGCAGGGCCGCCACAGGGTGGGAGTGGGGGCAGGCACACCCGCTGCTCTGTCTAGCTCTCTGTTCTCAGCTGTAGTTTGGCAAATTCGGGGGGCCGTGCTCCCCCTTCCCCCTGTTCGGCCAAACTCCAGATGCAAAGTGCCTTCAGATGACTGGGGACCCTGAAACCTCACAGATTCAGCCCACTTTCCTCGGGGGACCTGAACCATTTGCTCTCCTCCTCCAGGCGCACCCCCACCCCACGGAGTGGTCAGAAGGGCTCTGCTGCCCCCTGGTGGTGGCCCGTGGCTGTGCACCTGTACCTGCGAGGGGGAGGTGGGGACCCCTGAGGTTTATCTTGCTGAGAAATAACATATCTGTGAATCGACTGCCTTCTTACTCAGTGAAAAGTTTCTGCAGCCCTTGGATTACAGGAAAGAGGCTAACCTGTGCTTAGCAGAAAAAATGTGATCTGAATTAAATCTGTATTCCCTCTTTGGAGCATTGAGAACCCTTCTGGAAGCTGAGTCCACTGAAAACGTAGACTGCAGGTCCCAGGGTTGGTCCAGAGTCCAGGGCAGCTGGCACGCCCCAGGAAGGGGCTGTGCTTATCATACACAAGTCTCTTTGGCATCAAGAAGATGGATTAATAAAGCTCATTTTTAACTTTTTTCTCCTTTGGGGGAAAAATGACTCAAGGATTTCATAAGGCAGGAACTTCCAGACTTTACATTTGCAAGGTTGCGGGGGGCAGACTGGCCTCTTCATCCTGAACCACAGAGGCTTTCTGTCTTCTAAAAAGATGCCGGAATTGTACTGAGTGAAGGGGGCATGTTCTGGGGCAAACTGGGCTTCTTCCTTCCGGGATGACTGAGGAGGGGGGCGGCTTCGAGTTCGAGCCCAGGGCCCAGGGCCCGGTCCCTCCCTGGGCTCTTCCTCCACTCCATGTGGTCTGGGGGCCAGCCCCAACTTTTCCCCAAATGGAATTGGCTTCCCTTGTCTTATAATCCTTATCTTTTTTTTTTTTTTATCCTCACCT